AAGTGCCTGAAAACGCACCTGGCATAGCGCAGACCCTCCGCGAATGACTGAGGGTCTGCGCTATACCCTCACGGCCAAGGACAAGTTCATACACCGAGCGTGCACATGTGCCGAAGAGCTGGGACAGACCCGAAGTGAGGCCAAGGAAGTGGCCACTGCACAGGACCGACTAACCGGCCCACAGCGGGAAACCCAGAACCGGCCCTGGTTAATAAATCGGTCCGGCACGGAGCCCCACAGGGGTTCTCATTCTACTCCCTCTGCTGTGCTCCTTTAAAATGTCCAGAAAGAAAACTTCTGTGGATGTCCCAGAACCAGAAGCAAAGGGATGAGGTAGTCAAGCAGACAGCTTAACAAACGATACGGCATCAAATCAATCAATCCAGTAAGCATTTAAAAATGTGCAATGTGCAATGCCCTGCAGGGGTCAGAAGGAAGAGGTCCTTCCCTTGCCCTCAACTGGGGAGGGGGTCTGTGGATCAGATACAGACATCAGGGAGATGGCCCGGCCACTAACAGGTCTTTATTTCCAACTGGGTCTATGTCCCTCTTCTTCCTAAAGTCAAGGGAAGACGGAAGCTTCTAAAAAGAAAAGGGAGCCCCGGCCGGCGTGGCTCGGTGGGCGAACGTCAACCTATGAACCACGAGGTCGCTGTTCAATTCCCACCCGGGTTATGGGCTCGATTCCCAGTGTGGGGTGTGTAGGAGGCAACTGATCAATGATTCTCTCCCAGCACTGATGTTTCTATCTCTCTCTCTCCCTTCCTCTCTGAAATCAATCCTTTCCTATACAATAAAAGGGTAATATGCAAATCAACCAAAAGACCGGTTGCCATGATGTGCACTGACCACCAGGGGGCAGATGCTCAACACAGGAGCTGCCCCCTGCTGGTGGTCAGTGCACACCCACAGGGGGAGGCCGCTCAGCCACAAGCTGGGCTGACAGCAAGTCCAGTGGCCAGCCTCCTCTGAGGAGGCCTAAGCTGTCAGTTGGACATCCCCCAAGGGCTCCCCGACTGCAAAAGGGTGCAGGCCGGGCTGAGGGACAACCCCCCCACAGTGCACGAATGTCATGCACCAAGCCTCTAGTATGTATGTATGTATGTATGAATGAATAGATAGATAGATAGGAAGAAAAGGGAGTTTTCCCCAGCTTAATACAAAAAGCACAGACATTGGAGCCTGACATCAGTTCCCATTTCGGATCTGCCACTGTGTTGACTTTCAGGTAGGCCACGCCCCTCCCTGCGCCTGAGGGATGTGATTGGACAACACATGTTCCAGATGTTAAGTGGGAGACGCAGGTCAGGTACAGACTAGGCACGGTCCCTCCCGCTGCTGTTAGCCAGGCCGGTCGGGCCACAGGCCGGGGCACAGACCCGTGGGGACGGTCAGCGATTTAACAGGGGCCTCGGGGCGTCAGGGCTCCCAGCTGTTGGCGACAGGGGGGGAAGGGGCCGGGCTCCCCCGAAAGCGGGCTGCGCGGGGACGCCCCGTCCTACCGAGCAGCTTGCTGGTCTGGATGTCGATGGGCACGTGCTGATGGTCCTGGCGGGAAACACGGCAGACAGAGGGGTGTGAGCGCGGGGAGGGGGCGTGCCGCTCGCGCGCTCATTTCACGGGCACCCGCGGGGCCAGAACGAGGGGCGGGGGAGGGCTGCGCCCGCCCGAGAGGGTGGCCGAGGAAGCGGGTTAGGGACGGACGGGGGGAACCGAACCCAGGGGTCCCGGGAGAGCCCCCCGTTTCCTCGGCTCCTGTTCCCCCACCTGCATCCTTCCTCCACTTCAGCTTCCGGCCGACGACCCAGCACGCCCCGCCTACCACCAACCCAGCGCCCGGGCGGCAGCGCTTCAGTTTAGGCCCAAACCGGCCTCCTTCGCCACGTCGCCGCTTTCCTCGGAGCCAATCGGGACGCTCGCTCCACCCCTGGCCGCAAGCCCCACCCACCGCCGGGCTCCGAATGGCTGAGCCGAGGAGGGGCGGGAGAACAGGAGCCAGCCAATGGGAGGTGCGAGGCGGGCTCAGGGCCGGGGAGGGGCGGGGCGCCAGAAAGAGCTGCAGCGGCGGCACGATCGCGGCAGGCGGCGCCCGAGAGCTGGTCGCAGCCACGTGGAACCCTCTGAGCACAGATTAACACGTCTACAGGCGGGATCCTAGCGCCGCCTTGGCGAACCGGAAGCCTTCAGACTTGCCTTCGCCCCGTCTTGCCTCGTTTCACTGTTTCTCGTAGTTTGTAACTGTCTTCTAGCACTTGTCACACGTTGCCTTCCCATTCAGTTGATCTCATAGACGTGTGTTGAGCACCTGCTCCGGGCTCATTAGGACAGAGAAGGAGAGGAAAGAGGGCCAAGGGAGGCATCCCAAGCACAGCGCCTAAGTTGAGTCTTAAAGGAAGAGCTGCAGAAAAAGGGGTGATGTGTGGAGGGGTGTTCCGGGTGGAGGGGGTTGTACAGACAAAGCTTTGGAGGCAACAAACTGCAAGAGGGGTGCAGGAAACTGGCAATATAATTTGTGGGGTCCAGTGCAAACTGAAAATGCAGGGCCCTGGCTCTGGCCTGTGTGACTGGGTTGGGCATCCTCCCATGCAAGGAAAGGTTGCTGGTTCGATTCCCTGTCAGGCACATGCCCAGGTTGCAGGCTCGATCCCCAGTAGGAGGCTTGCAGGAGGCAGCTGATCAATGTTAGGCTCTCACATCTCTCTCTCTCTCTCTCTCTCCCCCCCCCTCTCCCTTCCTCTCTCTCTAAAACTCAATTTTTTAAAATACATATTTTTTAAAGTGTAGGGCCCTTGCTAAAAAATAGGAAGAATTTCAAGAGGGCCCTGCATAGGTCTCACACTCATGAAGCTGGTCCTACAGGCAGGCCAGCCTCTGTGCAGGAAAAGGCATGGATTGGCCAGAGAAGAGACTGTAAAGGTCAAATGGTCATATCATGGGGCGTCTCATTAAAGCACTTGGGTCCTGGCTGGTATGACCTGTGGTTAGAGCATCGGCCCCTCTCACCTAAGGGTTACGGGTTCAATTCCCAGTCAGGGGCACATCCCTGGGTTGTAGGTTCATCCCCAGCCCCTATCAGGGCGTGTGTGGGAGTCAACCAATCGATGCGTCTCCCTCACATCGATGTTTCTCTCTCTCTCTCTCTCCCTCCCTCCCCTCCACTCGTTCTAAAAATCAATGGAAAAAATATTTTCAGGTGAGGATAAAAAAAAAAGAAGAAGAACTTGGACTTCACCCCTGCATAGAGGAACCATTGGAGGGTTTTAAGGGTTTGAGGCAGGGAGGGACCTCTACAGATTGGCTGCAAGGAGGATGGGTTCATGGGGCATAAGAATGGGGACATGGGAGGTAAGACTGTCAGGAGATTATTACGCAGAAGTTCGGGCCTGACCTGGGAGAGAGGCATGAGGAGCAGCGGAAAGACTGGATTTCAGAATGTTTTGGAGGAAAATAAGCAGGACCTGGCAATTGGTTGGCTGTGTGTTGGGGGCGGGGGGACTGCACAGATGACACCTAAATGGAGGAGCCACACCTGAGGCAGGGATGAGGATCCTGAGCTGGGGGGAAGAGGGTGTTTCAGCCTTGGACTTGTGGGCTGGTGGTGCTGGGAGACCCCTGCGGGGAGGGTGCAGGAGGCACTGGGGTCCACAGCTCTAGCGTTCAGAGGAGCCATGGGGCTGGGGGCCAGCTCCGGAGAGCCAGGGGCTGAGCTGTGGTCCTGGTGGTCCCTGAAGCTGAGGGAGGGTGTGAGCTTCGGCAAGAAGTGGTAGAGCAGGGAGAGAAGGTGGGCGAGAACAGATCCCTGGCGTCTCACGGGGGGGAGGGGGGGGGCATTGGGCGCCCCCTCCTTCCGGGTTGCTGGCTCCTCCAGGAGGCTCTGCCTGCTCCTCTCTAAGTGGCCCCCTCCTCCCCTCCCCCCGCCTGGCACTCGGGGCTCAGTAAATTTTTTATTAAACTGTGTGTGTGATACAACAGCCAGAGGATCTAGATTCCTGCCCAGTGAGATCTTGGGCCATTTCCATAGCCTCTCTGCCAGCCACAGAGATAGCGGCCTATCTCGGGGTATTTCTGTTTATACGCTTAAATAAATAAACATTCTAGATGTATCTGACTTTACCGTTTACAACACGCTTTAATAAAGCTCATGCTTTGTAAACTGTGTGTGTGTGTGTGTGTGTGTGTGTGTGTGAGAGAGTGTGTGAATGTGAGTGTGTGTGTGTGTGAGAGTGTGTGTGTAACTGTGTGTGTATGTGAGTGTGCGTGAGTGTGTGTGTGTGTGAGAGTGTGTGTGAGAGTGTGTGCGCATGCGTGTGTGTGTGTGTGAGCCTGTGTGTGAACCTGTGTGTGTGTGTGAGTGTGAGTGTGTGTGAGAGTGTGTGAATGTGAGTGTGTGTGTGTGTGAGTGCATGTGTGTGAGTGTGTGTATGTGTGAGAGTGTGTGTGTAACTGTGTGTGTGTGAGTGCGTGAGTGTGTGTGTGTGAGAGTGTGTGTGCATGCGTGTGTGTGTGTGTGAGCCTGTGTGTGAGCCTGTGTGTGAGTGTGAGTGTGAGTGTGTGTGAGTGTGTGTGAGCCTGTGTGTGTGAGTGTGAGTGTGTGTGAGTGTGAGTGTGTGTGAGTGCGTGTGTGAGTGCGTGAGTGTGTGCATGTGTGTGAGCCTGTGTGTGTGAGTGTGAGTGTGTGTGAGTGTGAGTGTGTGTGAGTGTGAGTGTGTGTGAGTGTGAGTGTGTGTGAGTGTGTGTGCACAACGTTAATCATTAGTATAGCGTGAGTTGAAAGACTTTCCTGAAAATGGCTCCTGGGCAGCACTGAGGGCCTCTTCAGGGCTCTCATGGGAATTTGGCTCCCATCTCAGAGTCCTGACTCAGGCTCTAGGAATTGCTGGGGCTCCCCCATGATTAAACAAACACTTACTGGGCTGCAACCGTGTGTCCCTGGCTCCCTGGGATATCCCAGGAAGCATGTCCTCCCACCCCCACCCCACCCCCCACCCAGATGCATCTCTCCTGCTCGAATCAACAGGCGGGGCAGAGCAGGGAGGGGTGAGTCTGCAAGGCCCAGCCCTGGTGACTTGGTGGCGATAGACCACTGGCACTCACCCCACCCTCAGCTCCCGGTGACTCATGTACCTCAGCCGCTGACCTCTGGGTGGGAGGCTGCCCAGAGAGCACGGAGTGTGGGCTGCGGACAGCATTCTGCCCTGTCCCTCCTTTTCCAAGGCCACGGAGAGCCTCAGGGCCCGTGGGCAGAGGAGCACATGGGTGGCCTGGCATCCGGGCATCGAGGGCCTTGGGGTTCCCAGCACCTGGAAAGTGGCAGAGAGAGGGGTGGGATGCTGACCGTGGATCCCCCACTTCTCTGCTGATTTAGCAGGTGGGAGGCTGTCTGGGGGAGAGAAGCCCCTGGGGGGAGGGGGCAGGACATAGGGAGCTCATGCCACCGCCCCCCCTTGGACAGAGCAGATGCCCTCAGGGTGCTCCTTGTGCAGGCTGCCTTCCATCCTTTGTTGTTGTTATTGTTGTTGTCATGTCAACGTCATCACAGTCAGTTTGCTTGTTCAGTGATAACCATGTGCCCCGGGCCAGTGTAGATCTCCGTGTTTGACAAGCCTTATCTAACTGGATCCAACAACCTTGTAACGTGGGCACTACCACCGGTCAGACTTTAAAGGCGAGGGAGCCATGCTTAGATACGTAACTTGCCGAGATCATACCGGTGGTGGGGCTGGGAGTCCACCCCAGGCCTGTCTGGCTCCCCCACCTGCATCCTCGTTCCCCAGCAGCCCTGCCTGTCCCCTCCCGCAGCTCAGCCACCCCGGCCCCCGTCTCTTCCCCCCTCCTCCTCGGCCTGACTCCCACTTCCTGCCGACCCTGCCCCTTTCCCAAGTTCTTCCTTACCACACCCCGTCCTGGGCGAGGACGCCCACTGCTTATCTTTCTGCAATAGCCCTAAAAAAGGAGGCTTGCCCTTGACATTCAAGCAATCCATGTTTTAATTGGCCCTCTGTTTATTACTTTATGGTCCGTGTCTTCTGAGTGTTTGCTCACAGCCACGCTGCCTGTGTGTGTGTGTGTGTGTGTGTGCCTGCATGTGGTCTGCCTGCCGGGCTGGAAGCCCTGGAAACTCAGCAGCTTCAGGGGGGCCCTTGCTGTTTGCAGTATGATCTCTGTGCGGTGTTTTCCAGTGTCCATCTCCCCAGCTAGTCTGAGGGCACCTGTGGGCAGGAGGAGCCTTCTTCACCCCTGTGACCCAGCCCCCGGCCTAACACCTGACATTGACTGTGAGGGGCCTCGCGGTGGGTGTAAAGGAAGGACTAGGAGAAGGTGCAGCATGTGCACGGAGACAGTTAGTGATGCGTGGGGACCAGGATCAGTTGGTCTGGGGGTGGAGTGTGTGTTCCCCAGCCTGTCCCTCCTCCCTCTCTCTACAGCTCAGGACTTGTAGTCCAGCCCCCTGAACCGCTTGGAACCAAAGGGAGGAAATGGAGGTGAAGACATCAGGGCTGGTTGGCTTCCCGAGTTAAGCACAGGCCACTGACTTAACTCATCAGCTGGGTCGCGCTCTGGGGCCGCCGGCTGCACCCTAAACCCTGGCCAGCCGTGCCCTCCCACCCCTTCATCTTTGTTGGACTTCTAGGGGAGAATGCGTCACTGGGTGGCCTTGTGAGTCGGGTCTGAGGCATCATTTCCTAAGGGTGCCACTGCATGTCGTTATCTCACTCCCTTCACGGCGGGTGGAGGGAGGGAAAACCAAACCCACGGCCCAGCCTCCTGTCCCATGTACGTCAGTGTCGGGACCTTCACACGGAAACATAGTCCCCGCCCTCCAACAGCGTGACAGCATGATGCGTGCAGGGCTAACCCCCACGACAGCACTCCTGGCGCCCAGCACTGTGCTCATGTGTCACAGGTCATGAACCAACCGAGGTCAGAGGTGTGTGCGGGAGCTCAGGGAGCAGAGAGGAGGAGCGGCCAGCTCAACCTGGGGGTACAGGCACGGGGTGGGGACAGGAAACCGCCAGGGCGGCTCAGGGAGGAGAAGCCCTGGGGGTGAGACTTGCAGGGTGGGAAGGGACTGCGGCTGAGTGGAGAGCAGAAAGGAGAGGAACCGCATGGGTGAGGCGCAGGAAAGAGAGACGAGGCTGCTCCAGAAGATGCTGATCACGGGGCCTGGGATGTTTGTGGGAGAGCGGAAAGCTATTTGGTGGAAGAGACTGGCCAGGGGAGACCATGCAGAACCCTCAGGCCCATGGCGAAGGGTTGGAATTTACGCCTGCAGACCGGGGTTCACAGCCAGTGGGCAGCAGGCCCCTGTAGCCTTGTGCCAAGGGTCCAGGAACCCATAGACGCATTTATAGGATTCCAGTCGGTGCACACGAGAAGGACAGCAGTCAGATGGGGAGGGGGAGCTTTTCTACCCCGAGAAAGGGTCCTTTCAGAGAACAGGAAACCCACGTGGCCAGCACATGTCTGACAAGATGCTCAGCTTTACCAGAAATGGGGTTTGTGGTTCGCCGGGGCTGCTGGAGCAAATGATCACAAAATGGGTGCCTCGGAACATCAGAAATGTATGTTTTCACGCTTCTGCAGGCCAGGAGTCTGAAAGCAAGGTGTCAGTGCAGTGGCTGGCTCCCGGGGAGACTCTGTTCCATGCCTCCGAGGGCAATGGGAACATGGCAGTGGGAATGCAGGTTGGCGCACCGCTGAGAGGATCCACCCCGGGTGGATCCACCATCAGGGTTGAGTCCACACAGGCCCTGGCCAGTATTCTCAGTGGTTAGAGCGTCGGCCCCCACACCGAAGGGTCATGGGTTCGATTCCCGGTCAAGGTGGCAGGTTCCATCCTGCAACAAAAAGGACCACAGAAACAGGGCTCCGAGCCCCGGCAGGCCATCGAGGTCCTTGGAACTAACTCCCTTCGTGTATTTTACTTGCTGTTCTCAACAAGGACACATTTCCCAGAACATGCACTTTGCATGCTTGTTTGTGGAATATCACCCTTGAGCCTAGTTTCAGAAAGGGCATTGAAAGGTAAGGCATTGTATCAAGCAATGAGGCAGCCTGCGTGTGGGCGATCTGTTAAAGGGATATTCACAGTCTACAGCCTGATCTCAAACTCCCCTCCCAACTCTGCTCCTCCCCAAAATAGATCCCCCAAAGGCCAGGGTTTGGGCCTGACTTCCCGGGCTGGGCTCTCGCAGGAGGGTGGGTTGGGGAGCTGGTCCTGGTGGCACGCTCCGAAGGGCAGGCCACCGGTGGGCCCCCACTGAAGCCAGGGCACTGCGGCTCTCCCTGGGGCGCCTTCTCCAGCGTGAGGCTGAGAGGACAGGACTCTGCCCCCGTGTGTCCCAGAAACCAGAGAGGCCTGGGTTTGGGGGGTGGGGGGCGGGGATGAGTGCCTTCACAGAGCCTCTTCCTGTGAAGATGGAAATGGCTCCGGCCCTGGTTAGAGTCCCCCAGGCCAGTGCCCATCCCTCCATCCTTCCAGTCTCTTCCCAACACCCGAGCTGGGATGACTTCTTAGCCTCTTCTGGTGTCGTCTGGACTGGACATCCACGCTCAAATAGACCAAGTTTTCAGAGAAAGTGTCAGATTTGGAAAGTTGTGGGCATCTTCCTGGGACATCAGTGTCCTCTTTCCACGAGAGCAAGGGACCTTGCAAAATAATATGTTCAATTCACACAAACCCTGGGAGACAATGTGACAAGCCTGCTGCCGCTGAAACAAGAAGTGAAATAAACCGGTTTCACCCAGCTGGGTGGCTCAGTAGTAGAGCATGAACCCATGAACCAGGTCACCGATTCCCTGGATTATAGACTCGTTCCCCAGTAGGGGGCGTGCAGGAGGCAGCCGATGGATGTTTATCTCTCATTGATGTTTCTCTCTCTCTCCTTCTCCCTTCCTCTCTCTGAAATAAACAAAAAACATATTTAAAGCCCTGGCCGGTTTGGCTCGATGGATAGAGCGTCAGCCTGCGAACCAAAAGGTCCCAGGTTCAACTCCGGTCAAGGGCACATGCCCGGGTTGTAGGCTCAATCCCCAGTGGGGGGCGTGCAGGAGGCAGCCAATCAATTATTCTCTCTCATCATTCATATTTCTATCTCTCCCTCTCCCTTCCTCTCTGAAATCAATAAAAATATATTTTAAAAAGCATATTAAAGAAAAAGAAAGAAACCAGTTTTCTCTCACACTTACCTGTCCAAGGGAGGGAGGCACAAAGGCAACGGGCCACATTAAGGATTTCTCATTAAGAATGTTTCTGCTTCTCATTTCGGTTGTACAATCAACCATCGTATACATCACGTTAAATAGGAGCCTTTTAACAAACTTTCGGAAAAAGACGCTTCTTGGTGAGGTAGGAGGCAAACAGTTAATTTGGGTCTTGAGGGATGAACAGGAGTTTGTGTTGGGTTACACAGGGGGTGGTGGGGCCATTCCTGGCCTAGAGCACAGCCTGCGTTCCTAACCTCACCCACCCGGGCAGCCTCTGCACCCCGGAGGGGAGGCCGAGAAAGGGCCTCGTGTGCACATTCGGGGACGTTGGGAGAGGAGGCTGCAGGAATCCCATCCTCGAGGACCAGGCCAGGCGGGTGTCCTGTGGCCCCTGGGGAGCCTTTGAGGACTGTCCCCCTGAGGTTTAGGGACAGCTGTTCAGGATGGAGGGGACGAATTCACAAGGTCGCAAGAAACTGAAGGAAGTAGAAGCCAGTTGGCGACAGTGGGGCAGGTTTGAGAGTTGGTTAGGATTGAAGTGTAGGGTGGGGGGCGGGCCAAGGGAAGGGACAATTGTGTGTCTTTTCTCTACCCAGTGCCCCCCTCGGAGCCTGGCACGTTCACACTCAGCCCATGGAGGAAGGGAGCCGGCCGTGGACTGAGCATCTCGGCTGGGCAGCACTGGGACAGGGAGCTGCGGGACACTCACCGTGCAGCGGGGAGGCAGACGGCAAACACCAAGGGCCCTCCTGAGGGGGCCACAGAGGACCTTCCCCCAGGCGCGCCATATGTAAGAGCAGCCCGGCTGATTTGCAAGCGAGCTGTGGCTGTAGACCACTGCGGGGACCAGTGAGGACGTCACCCCTGTGCACACTCTGCCTTCTCGCCTTTTCCTCTCTCCCTGAGAGCTGGCCCCAGGTTTTGCGCGCTTTGGAACACCCAGCGAGGTCCACCCGAGGGACAGCTGGCTGCTTGGGGGAAGCTGAGGGAAGTGGTACCTGGGGTGGGAGCCATCACGGTTCTCTCCGGGAGTCTGATGAAAGTATGGTGCTGTCGCAGGAACATAACCGCCCTTTCCCGCACACACGGGCTTTCACGGCCCCCAGAGCCCACCCCTAAGCAAGGGAGGCGGCAGGAGATCTGCGGCTGTGGTGGGTCTGGAGGCCCCGGGCCCCCTTCCCACTCCAGCGCTGGGAGACTTTGAGGAGGGCCTTAGGGCATGGGAGCCGCAGCGGCCCACCCAGGGCCGGCCTGTGGGGCCCGGAACCCGGGGCGGAGCGGACAGCCTGGGAACCGGTCTGCCAACCAGTTTAACCAGGGACTGGTTTCGACTCTGGAGTTCAAAGGAGCTGGGTGCACCCTTGTCCTCCTCAGCCAGGGGGAGCAGCGGCCCTTAACCCTTTCCCGGTTGTGCCCGGGGCAAGGTCCAGGCTTTGTTGTGGCCGGAAAGGGGTCTGAACCTCCTCGGGGCATGAACTGGGCGGGGGTTGGGGGGGGTCGGGGGTGGGGGGTGGCCTTGCCTACAGGCGGCCAGCAACCAGGCGCTGGAGAAGGGGGAGACGGAGCAGAGCGGCTCCCCATCTCCCCGGACCCCAGGCTTCCCTGGGGATTTCCTCCTCCTGGCCAGGCGGTCCCTGCAGGACCCTGGGTGGGTGCCGGGCCCGGGGATTGGGTTTCTGGGGTAATGAATATTCATCAGGCCGAGCAGGCCTCTGCTTCTGTTTACTTAGCCGGGAGGGGCTGGGTTTCAGGTTCACCTTGACTCCTGCAGGCACAGTGAGCAGGTACCCCACTCCCGCACCTGTTTCTCCGGCACCTGCCGCACAGCTGCTCCTACCAGCTCCCCTGGCCCGGCCGTGCCTGGCACAGCACCCTGGCGGCTCCCCCGGCTCCCCCAGGCTCCCCTCCGGGCGGCGCCGGCGCTCAGCCCCTTGTCTAGGGAGGGGCTCACCTCCAGCTGCGGCAGCCAGGATCACAGGTACAGGCCGAGGGTGGGCGGCAGGAAACCAAGGTGCAGCCAGGGCCCCGTTCTGCCTCCGTGGCTGACAAGTCCAGCTGCGAGGGAGAGCCTGGCATGCGGGCTCCCACCTTCCTGGGTGAGCAGGCAGAATTCGGGGCTCATCCCGTTGGCTTCTTGGAGTCACTCCAGGCCTCCAGCCTGGAACTCCTGGGGGGAGAGTTTCTCTCCAGAGCTGTTCTCTGTTAACTCTTGTGGAGCTGGAGCCCACCAGCGCCTACCCCCAGCCTGGAGGGTACTTCTGGCTGTCTGAACCTCCTCCTGTTCCTGTCTAGGGTCTCCCAGACTTATCCAGGGTGGAGAAGTCCCACAGGGCCCCCCAGAAAGCTGAGGGCTGGGGCTCTGGGTTTTGTCTTACAAGGCAGACGCCGACTTGCTCCCTCCAGCCCCCTCCACCCCTCCACCTTGCCCCAGTCAATGGTTAACTTGGTTCAGCTGAGAAGGGGCTCGACCTCGCCTGGGCAAACTCAGCTGGGGCGGTGGGGCCTACCCGGGTGCCCACATGCGGGCCACGGTGTAGCTGTTATAGGCAAGGGGCGGTGGGCTGTCCCGTGAGGCTGGGCTCCCCAGCTGTGCAAACAGCGTAGGGGTAGTGGCCTCCTCAGGGGCAGATTTCTATCATCCCATGGACTGTAGGGCCCCAGGGCAAGGGCTCAGCCCTCTGCTTGGCCCATGAAGACTGCAGACCATGCTCAAAATCCCAATTCACTCCCCACCCCCAGCCCTGCGACCCTCACTGATTAGGCGTAGGTGTGTGGCTGTAGGTATCTTGTTCTTGGCTACTTTGGGGAGCTGGGAAGTTTGGGTAACACTTTCTTTCTTTTTTTTCTTTTTTAAGCAAGTCAGACTTTACACTCTCTTGGGGTAACTCACTGTTTACCAGACAGAGTCTTATAGCTAGCTGGGTTATTCTGCAAAACAAAGACCTAACTTAGCTATTCTGCAAATTCAGACTTCCACAGGTCAGGCTTGCTTAAAGGGGCACACACCTGCTTGCTTGTGCTCGCGTACCCTAAGCAGGGGGACAGCGAGGCCTGGCAAACAGTCTGCTAGAGAGACCAGAGTTTAAGCCAGGAGACACGGGCACCGAGGTGCCATGGTGGAGGCCGCAGGGCAGGGTCCAAGGGCCATTCCCGACTCTGGTTTTCTGACCAGTTTCTTGTGATCTGTCCCTCCCTGTGGAGCAGTGGTTCTCAACCTGTGGGTCGCGACCCCTCTGGCGGTCGAACGACCCTTTCACAGGGGTCGCCTAAGACCATCCTGCATATCAGATATTTACATGACGCTTCATAACAGTAGCAACATTACAGTTAGGAAGTAGCAACGAAAATAATGTTATGGTTGGGTCACAACATGAGGAGCTGTATTGAGAGGGCCAGAAGGTTGAGAACCACTGCTGTAGAGGCTAACTTGAAATACCCATTAAAGCGGGTCTGTTTTAACTGGCACATAAAAAAGCCACTTCCTCTAGGCGAGGCAGTCTGGTTATTGCTGTTGGTTCGGGAGTTGGATCCTCCACTCCCCACGTTCCTTGGCAGCCCTGGTGGGGCCATGGGACTTGCCCCAGACCAGGTGGCAGCTCCGGCACCCACAGGCCGAGCAAGGGCGCAAGCGTCCTGTCCCTCCTTCCCTGCCCTTCTCGCAGCTCCTTCCAGACACCCATCCTGGAACACCGAGATCTGAGCAAGGCTGTGCTAGGCCCAGGTGGGGCAAGCTGCCAAAGCAAACCTCCCGGGCTGTCCCCTGGGTGCCCTCGCCTCCCCTGGGTGCCCGAAAGGTATTTATCTGGCCACTCTCCCCCCTCCCTCACTTTCTAAACGGGAGCTGCACCAGGTCTACCCGGGTCTCTTGCTGCATGAGCCGAGCAGAGGGACAGAGGTGGCAATACGGAATCTGCTTTCTGGACAAAGCCCTGGAAGGAATCGGTTGGGCGCGTGCTCTGGGCAGGGGGATGGGCATGTGGGGGGACAGGGGACAACAGCCAGGGAGCCAATGGAAGTGGACGAAGGCACTCAGCTCACTCCCAGCCTGGGCCAGCATCCTGCCTTCGTGTTTTCTGAATTGGATGTGTTCCTCCTCTAACAGAACACACTCCGTGCTCATGTGGAAGATCTGGAAATGAGAAAAGTGGAGGGGAGAAAGCGTCCCGTATTCCTTCTGCATAAAGAAAACCACTGCTAGCCATTTGTCATACTTCTTTCTGGTCTTTTTAGAAAAGGTAGTTAAGACCATCAGTTTTCATTTTTATTTTTTAAAATATATTTTTATTGATTTCAGAGATGAAAGGAGGGAGGGAAGGGGAGAGAGAGAGAAACATCAATGATGAGAGAGAATCATTGATCGACTGCCTCCTGCATGCCCCACGCTGGCGATCAAGCCCGCAACCCGGGCATATGCCCTGACCGGGAATTGAACCGTGATCTCCTGGTTCATAGGTTGAAGCTCAACCACTGAGCCACACTGGCCGGGCAAGACCATCAGTTTTTTGAAAGAGGTGACACATTTGCCTGTGCCCGGGCTGACTGACCGTCTAGCTTTCTGGTGTGTGGTGGCTGCTGCCCCTCCTCCCCAGGACCTTTCACAGCCACACTCAGGAGTCCTGAGGCCAGACTACCAGCCTCTCCTGAAACAGAGATGCCTTGACTGATCTTAATCCCTCTGGTCTACATGCCCACCTGTCAGTGATGTGCAGGCATCTCCCAAAATTTCCACTAGCTCAGACGCACCTTTGTGGCGGTCGGTAAATGGTGGGGTCTCATCCCGGGCACAAGGCTTATCAGTGGAGAAGCCTGGACTTTAGCCCCACAGCCCATCTCTTTTGGGATTCCCATGGAGAGTCCAACCCATGAAAACCCTATGTCACATGTACCTCTTGGCCCCACCGAACCTCCTTCCAAATTTCCAGCTCCCCTTCAAACTCCTGCCCTTGTGGAAGCTGGGTGGGAAAGGGGGCCATCCCTCAACCATTATCACCATTGTCATAAGTTGTATTTTGCAAAGCAAGTCTCTCTCTGTGGGCGGAGCTGAATATGAGGGCTGGGAGGGACGGATGAGGCCACTGAGGCCCAGAGGAGTCGCTTGCCAGGGGTCACGCACCTGGAACAGTCGCAGCGCTTCCCACTCCCAGCCTGAGGTTCCTCTCCCTGCTCATCACCAGTGGGAAGTCCAAATTACTCTAAACATCACACGTCCTGTTGAAATTTGAATGAATGGATTTATTAATTAATGAATTCCAAGCAAAATGCCCAGGGTGTTTCTGTCTGTCTGATACCAGGTGACCATCTGCCCAAAGGGTGTCCAAGGCCTGGATGCTGTGTGACTTGTGCAAGCTGTTCACCTTCCTGCAGTCCCAAGGGGCCTGGCAGCTCGATGCCGCCTGGCGATGGCCTGTGTTTTCCCCACTGTCACCTCCCCTGGGCTCAGATGGCTTTCCTGTCCATGTGTGTTCGGCTACCTCTTCCCCAGACCCTCTCTCTTCTCTCCAAATGCATTGCATCACTTACCTGAATCTTGGGGTCACTCGGCCCCACCTTTCATTCCTTTAGGCCTGGGCCATTAAAAATAGCCTGTGGTGCCGGCTGCAGTAGTCATGTGGCTGAGCATTGCCCTGTGCATCAAAAGTTGCCCATTCGATTCTTGGTCAGGAAGAATACCTGGGTTGTGGGTTCCATCCCTGGTTGAGACATGTACGAAAGGCAACTGATTGAAGTTTCTCTCTCTCTCTCTCTCTCTCTCTCTCTCTCTCTCTCTCTCTCTCTCTCTCATGTCCTCAGGTGAGGATTAAAAAATAATAGCCCTAACTGGTTTAGCTCAGTGGATAGAAGTGGATAGAGCATCAGCCCACGGACTAAAGGGTCCTGGGTCCTATTTTGGTGAAGGGCACGTACCTTGATTGCAGACTCATTCCAGGCCCTGGTCGGGGCATGTGCGGGAGGCGACCAATTGATGTGTCTCTCTCACTTTGATGTTTCTCTCTCTCTCTTCCCTTCCCTTCCACTCTTTCTAAAAACCAACAGAAAAATATCCTTGGATGAGGATGAACAATAATGAAAATAAATAACAAACAATAAAATAAATAAATAATAGATCAATAAAATAGCCAGTGGTTAGGAGTCTAGAGGGGGCTGCTCTAAGGCACCCCCGCCTTCTCCCCACTGACCCCTTCCTCTCTCCTGCAGAAGCCCACCCTCGGCTCAGGGAGCACCATGACCGAAGTTGGTTGGTGGAAGCTGACCTTCCTCCGGAAGAAGAAGTCCGCCCCCAAGGTGCTGTACGAGATCCCTGACACCTATGCCCAAGCGGAGGGCAGCGCAGAGTCCCCGGGGCCTGAGGGCGGGGATCCCAACAGTGACTTTAACACCCGCCTGGAGAAGATCGTGGACAAGAACACAAAGGGCAAGCACGTCAAGGTCTCCAACTCCGGCCGCTTCAAGGAGAAGAAGAAAGTGCGAGCCACACTGGCGGAGAACCCCAACCTCTTCGATGACAGGGAGGGCAAAGGACAGTGAAGGGGGCCGAGGAGGGTGCTACCCAGCATCTCCCTGCCTGCTCCCTGCTGTCAGCTGGATCTGAGCTAGGAGCTTGCCACGCAGGCCTCTTTGGCCGCAGCTGAAGCCCTGGGGGCAGTTGATGCCTGCTGGCAGGCAATGTCTGGTTTTAGGTTTGTATTTATGTGCCCGGCTTTCTGGGAAGTGTGGGAGATCCCAGGGTCCTCCCACCGTCCCCCACCACATATAAAGGCACTTCGGTTCAAGGATGACAAGTGCCACCCAGGGTGTCAGCCCTCCCTGAAGCCATGTCAGGGCGGGCAGGGAGGCGGACAAGGAATACAGAGAGTGCCTGATTGACTTCACTTCCTCCCAGGGCATGGGGTCAAGGGTGAGTTTGACTTGCTGCTCCCTCTACTGTCTCTACCCGTGACTGTTCCCTGGACCAATCCTGAGAGTGCATTTTCCAGCAGACATGTGATGGGGGATGGTTTCCAGGAGCCAGAGGTGGGCTGGACTTGAGCTCACCTCCTAACACAAGTGGGAAACTTCCGGGAACTTTGCCCCCAGATGTGCAAGGGGAGGAGGACCCTGGCACTCCCTGGAGGTGGCCAGGTTAAGGACCCCATGGGTCCAGGTTAGGGGAGGGGGTGGGGAAGCTCTGGTAGGACCTAACCGCAGCCAGTTATTCCCCACGGTATTAAAGATGGATCAGCCCCAGAGATGAGTCCTAGAGCCTTGAATTTTGTTTAAGAAAATAACTATAGGTTTCTCTCTTTGTTTTTTTTTTTAAAAAATACATTTTATTGATTTTTTACAGAGAGGAAGGGAGAGGGATAGAGAGTTAGAAACATCGATGAGAGAGAAACATCGATCAGCTGCCTCCTGCACATCTCCCACTGGGGATGTGCCCGCAACCCAGATACATGCCCTTGGCCAGAATCGAACCTGGGACCTTTCAGTCCGCAGGCCGACGCTCTATCCACCGAGCCAAACCGGTTTCGGCGGTTTCTCTCTGTAATAAACAATGCTGCAAAAGCGGAGCATCTGTTTATACGCTCGTCTTCCATTTATTGAGAGGACCGTGTTTATGCCTTTGTTTCCCTTCATGGAAGCGGAACCTGGTGCTCAAATCGTTCCTCCCACATTTCACAAAGGGTCCCAGGTGGCGGGATGCAGGGCTGGGGACACCAATTTCACCCTCCAGCCACGGTGCTTGTGGCACCTCAGCGGTCAGTCCCTCTGGTCAACAGAGGCCAGCAGGGGCTGCAAGAGAACGAAGCAGACCTCTGGGGACTGACCCAAAGTTGCAGTGGTTTGGTTTGGGATCAAGATTCAAATTCTGGTTCCACCTCTTAGTAGCTGTGTGATTTGGGGAACATTAAACACACACACACACACACACACACACACACACACACACACACAACCTCCTCTGAACCCTGGCCGGGTAGCTCAGTTGATTAGAGCATCGTTCCAATACGCCGCTGGTTCCATCCTGTCAGGGCACATAGAATGAGTGCATAAATAAGTGGAACAACAAATCAATGTCTCTCTCTCTAAAAATCAATCAATAAATTTTTTTTAAACATCCCTCCTCTGAGCCTCAGTTTTCTCTTCTATAAAAGGGCCTCTAATGATATCTATTTCACAGGGAGTGGTCAATGGTTAGTGACCCATTAGTAGTCCTGTAGGAGGTGCGCCATTAACATTGGTTTCCTCCCCCCTTTCCCTTACTAGGGAACTCACCATAGCCCACAGTTTCCATTTAAGGAAGAGGAGAGGCTGTTAGATCTGGATCTTTCTCAAGCCCCAGGAGCTGGGAACTGGAAAACATTGGCCATATCTCCAGAGCTCATGGTGGGAACATGGAGAGAGAGAGACCAAGGTGGCGACTAAACAATGTGGTCCGGCAGCTTCCAGGCCAGCTCCTCGCAGGCTGCTGGGCCACCCCACCCCACCCCAAGGAGTGCTGCTCAGGAAATTTATTACCAAAACAAACAGACCATACAAGGGGCCTTTGTTAGGTGGCCTCACCCAAGGCATGGGGAGCTCTGAGGAAGAGTGAGGGAGAGACCGGGAGCAGGAGGAGGACAGGACTCTTCCCCTATCCCTCCTCATGACGGAACTTTCTAAGGTCCCCCCAATAACTCAGTCCATAAAGCCTCCCGTGGAGGAGCAGACTCCCCCATACTCCAGTCCTGCCCACTGTTAATACCTGATGTTTACAGAGGGTTTAAAATGAGCCAAGCCCACGCTGGCTGGGTGGCTAAGTTGATTGGAGTGTTGTCCTGTACATCAAAAAGGTTGCGGGTTCGATTCCCATTCAAGGGCATGTACCCCAGTTGTGGGTTTGATCCCAGGCCCTGGTCAGGGCGTGTGTGGGAGGCGACCAATCGATACGTCTCTCTCACATAGATGTTTCTCTCTCTCCTCTCCTCCCTCCCTTCCACTCTGAAAATCAATGGAAAAAAAATCCTTGGGTGAGGATCAAAAAAACAAAGAAACATCCTTGGATGAGGATTAAAATGGGACAGGCCCTGTGGCAAGTACTCCCCGAGGTCCCTCCTTTAATCCTCTCGTGCCCCATTGAGACAGGGCCCATTACTAACTACCCCCGTTTTCCAGGTGAGGGCTGAGCTTAGAGAGCTTGAAGTCACTCACCTGAGACCATGCCCTCGCAGAGGTGGGGCTGGGACTGAAGCCAGAGCTGGGCTGCGCTGTGACCACTGAAACACACAGCCCCTTCCATTCCTGATTTGCATCTGCTTAGGGATGGGAAACTCGGGACAATGAAAGGAACCAGTCACCCTCTGCTGAAGGAGAGGTGGGATGAGCCAGGGCAAGGCCTGGACCGTGGGATCCTGGGAGGCGAGCACCATTTGAGGGTGCTGCAGACTCTGGGACCAACGGGGGAGAGCCAACCAGCGTGGAGGCTGAGTGGACCCTGAGACTCCAGATTGTAGGGACCTCCCATTCCAGCCCATCCTGAGCTTCCCTGAGGCGAGGGCAGGGGGCTGAAGCTGGGCCCTGGGCCACAGACCCTACCTGTGGTCTAATGCTGGCACCTCACTGCCACCATGACTCCTCCTAGTTGGCAGGGTCTGTGGACCCCTCTGCTCCATGCATATGACCATGCTCCACGGCCCCAAACTGATGACTGCAGGAATCTTCCCGGGAAACTCCACATATTCCCTTAACCTGGGCATTAGTGGATGGGGGTGAGGAGGTGGGGTGGTTACCAACGACCAAAGGGATATCTGGCTGCCCAGGGAGTCAGAGCCCAGGCAGCTGTGAGTTTTTACCAGGCCAGAGGAGGAGGAACCGAAAGTGCAAATATGTGCAGGAGCCGGGAGAGGCTACGGGTTATCGACCACAGTTTCACTGGGACTCAACCCAAGGGGGGAGGGGGAGGCAGGCGGGGCAGGCTAGAATGGCCTGTGCAGCCAAGAAGGGGCCAACCTTGGGCAGCAGGCGCCCCCTGCTGGATGCCCCACCTCCCAAGAGAGGAAAATCGAGGTGGGCAGAGTTGCTTAATCCCCCAACTCCCCTCCTTCCTAGGGTGGGGGGCAAGACCAGGCCAGAGTGGACATTAACATCACGCACATCTGATGAGTTTTTATTAGAGATCTGGCAAAGTGATTGCCGGACAGAGAAGAGAACTGCTGAGACCAGGCTCAAAGCTGGGGAGACACAGCTCCCAGAAACACAAACAGGACAAGGGAAGGGTCCCCAGCGCCCTCTCCTGTAGGTCTCAGAAAGGTTGTGCTCAGGCTTGAGGGGGGATCAACAGCAAGAGAGAGGCCCTTGGGGGAGCTGGTCACTCGCAGGCGCTGAAGCACATGCCCGTACAGTGAATGAAGCCGTGTGCAGAGTGGCAGGTTCAATGCCACTGTGCACAAACAATAGTCCGTCCTCTCTTCCTGGCTGAGTCACAGCAAACATTTACCCAGCCCGGCTCCTCTCCACAGCCTGCAGGCCACTCATCCAGGCTGACCTGGTCACCAGACTTGTGCCCGAGGAAAGCAAATACAGTTCCGCACAGGCTCAGCCGAGGGCTCCCGGAGAATCCGACCGTGAGGGTGAGGGGCAGGGGGTTTAGGGGTTGAGGCCAGTGCACTGTCACCAGGGGTGGGTGGGGGTCCTGTTAAACGCAGGCGGGAACTCAGTGGGTCTGGGGAGGGCTCCCAGTGATGCCAATGCTGCCTGCCGTCCTGAGGCCCACACAAGGGTCTAGCCCAGGGGTGGGCAAACTTTTTGACTCGAGGGCCACAATGGGTTCTTAAACTGGACCCTGGACCGGAGGGCCGGAACAAAAGCATGGATGGAGTGTTTGTGTGAACTAATATAAATTCAAAGTAAACATCATTACATAAAAGGGTACGGTCTTTTTTTTCAATAGTTTTATTCATTTCAAACGGGCCGGATCCAGCCCTCGGGCCGTAGTTTGCCCACGGCTGGTAGCCCAGGGGCTCGAAATCTCGGCTTCACAAAGTTCCCTGGGGAGCCTTTAAATTTCCCAATGCCTCAGACCCGTGAAGTCATCTCTAAGGGGAGGATCTAGGCATCATCAGGATTTTTAAAGCTCCCCCCCCCCCCCCCCGATAATTCCAATGTGGGTGAAAGCCAGTGACGTGGAGAGGTGAGGAGTAGGGAAGGGGATGTGTGAGTAGTCAGAAAGGCAGAATCTCTATAATAATTTAATTTCATGCCTGGAAAGTAAAATAAATAAATACTGTTTATAAACCAACCTGGAAAATAAAGCTTGATTAAAATCTTCCTGGCCTATAGGTACCAGCACATGAATCCTTTCTACAAAACTCCTGACTGGGATTGAATGCTTCCAGTAAGAGAATACTCACTACCTAATGCTCACTACCCCCTCCCCCTGGCAATCTCTCCCCATATTGAAGTGAAATCTATTTCTGTGTAATATCCACCGATGGGTCCTTTGGAGCTACAGAGAATAAATTCCATCTTTCCCCACACTGCTGTGCTTCAGAGAATGGAAGGCAGCTATCAGCGGGGTAAATGCTGTAAGAGTATCTGTGAATAAACGAGTGAGTTAGGGTTCTTTTATTTGCAATCAACAGCAATTTATTCTGCGAGTTTATGTCAAAAAAAACTTCTTTTTTGAGACAGTGGGTGTGTGAGGCAGGAGGAGGAACCGCACAGCCCAGGCGGGGAAGGAGGGCGCCAGGCCTCTCAGGGAATTGCAAGAGCAGCAGCCAGAGGCCGTTGCTTCTTGGCTGCCACTAACGATGCGGCTACAGTGAGCACGCGGCTACAGTGAGCACGCTCTGGGTCTCTCCATGTCCAATTTCCAATAGTTGACAAGGAAAACCGATGGGCGAGACTGGCTCAGGTGCTTATGCTGGGACCAATCAGCTTTGGCCAGTAGGACTCAGTCACAGTGGTAAAAAGACAGGGCTGCTGGGGACCCACTCTGTGTCACCAGAAGAGGGATTTACAGCAGCTGCTCCCTCTAGAGGGAGCCATTCCAGTAAACTATTGTCAAAATCAAGAAAATAATGATGAGATTACTTTCCATTTGTGATTCTCTATGCCACCATTACACTCCACTAGAGCTTACTGAGAGCCAACCAAGTAGAGGGTACTGAAAGGATGAACTCTGAAGACCCCTACATGTAAGGAGTGGGGAGGGAAATGGTGGCCCTTAGAAGGGCCCGACTCCCAACCCCACACCCTCTCTCAGCACCTGGTCCTCGCTCCCGTGGGCACCGCAGCCCGGGAGTCAGGGAGCAAGCCTCTCGTAGAGCCAGTCTTCCTCCCCGCGGTGGGTCATGGGTCCCAAAGGGGAGTCTCCTGTCGGGAGGCTCCGCCGAAAGACGATCCGGTCGTGCAGGCGGTTGGTTTGGCCTTGCCAGAATTCCACCACCTGTGGGCACAGGATGTAGCCACCCCTACGAAGAGAAGCAGCCATGTCACTCCCCACCACCCCCGGGCCCCCTGAAGGACGTTGCTGGGCGGTATCTCAGGGCTGACGGGGAGGAGGAGATCTGTAACCCACAGACAGGGTGGCTTCCAGCAAACACGAGGGTCCTGGTGTCCCTTTCTACACGACTATGAGGCATCACTCACCAGTATTTTGGCTTCGGCACCTCTTGTTCCTGGTACAGCTTCTCCAATTCCTCGTTTTTCTTTCTCAGATACTGTTCAGGGGAAGGAGATAGAGGAAGGGCCAGACCTGGTCAATGATTCATTTAATAACCACGTACTGAGCATGTGCCAGGTGCTGGGCACACAGGTGAGCAAGGCACAGGCGGCCTCTGTCCTCCGGGAACAGAGTCCAACGGGAGGGTCTGACAGACACATGAGGCCCATTGGGCCATTTCCCCACTCCCGTTCCCCCAGGAAGACATTCTTTCCACTTTGCTGGAGAGAGGGCCCTGGCATCCCTGGGAGACAGCCTCTGGGGATGAGCCTGGGCCCTCGCCACCCGGAGGACTAAGAGGAAGCCCCACTCACCTCCCGATCAGGGATGACGGAACTCTGGTGACTGACCACAGCCCCAATCTGGCTGCTCTTGGGGCGGGAGTGGAAGTAGCACGCGGCCTCCTCCTCTGGCAGCTTCTTCACAGGGCCCTCCACACGCACCTGCTCAGGGATGGCCTTGGCTACATGGCGTTCAAAGCCACTTACCCTCCCCAGGCCACAGGCCCATTCCCGTCTTCTCTTTAGCCAATGCCTCACCACTCTGGGCTGCCACCAGACCAGCTAACTATATGAGAGCTATGAGAGGCAGGATGTTTGCCCAGCCTGGGGACCTCCACTGGGCTCCTATATAAACTCAGGCCCCTCCCAACACAGCCCGCCCCAGGCTGTCCTGGGAACACTCACTCACCTGACGGTTCAGGGGCTCCCAGTAGAAGACAAGGGAAGCAAAGGGATTAGAGTCCTGGAAATGAAAGAGAATCCACAGGCAGCGTCAGGACATGGGGGAAGGCAGGAAGTCTGCAGCGTGCAGGCCCACGGGAGATGCACTCAGTGTAGTATCTCATTTAAACCCTCAACGGTAGGCCTACTGTTACAGGTAGGGACAGGCTCAGAGACGTTAAGTGACGAGCCCGAGTTCACATAGCAAAGTGGCAGGGCTGCGTCGGAAACCTAAGCTAGCTGGACTCCAAAGTGATGCTTGCCATTTCTCAAGCCCACAGATTTTGCATGTTCTCAGAAATGTATGTTTGCCTGGCAGGGACTCAGGGAGGATGACTCATGTGGATTTATGAACTGTATGCATGTGAAGTGCCAACACTGTATTCGACACCAGAAGAGGTCATGGGGGTGTAACACAGATACAACAGATGCAGCCTCTGCCCCCGCAAAGCTTACCACTTAGCAGAGGACACACACATTAATCACATAATCATATACATGCACAGCTTGAAACAGAAAAAATGGCAGGAATGTTGCTAGTTAGAATGATAGCAAACAGCATGAGCGGCTGACTCAGTGTAGGAGTTGAGGAGGCTTTTTTGAAGAGGCTAACATTGGGGCTGAGACTGAAGGGACAGGGTTACTTGGATAAACAGATGACAGAGGCAGGGGTGGTTGGAGAGAGCATTCACGCATGTGCGGCAAGGAGAACGGAAGTGCAAACGCCCCCAGGCAGGGTGGCCCTTGAGCACAGACAGCAAGCGGGGTGGGGTGGGGGTGACTGATGAGGCAAGGGCTGGACTCTGCAGCCCCGAGGAGGATTTACCGTGACCCCTCACCAGCTCTTTCCCCTTTCGGCTCTCGAAGTTAGTGAAGAAGCGGAAGCCATCCTTGTCAAAGCCCTTCAGCAGCACCATGCGGGCAGAGGGCTTCCCATCTCTGGGACAGAGAGCAGAGTGCCGTGGTCAGAGCCCACTCAGTGTTCTCGCCGCTGCCCCTCCCTTGGGATGTCTGAGCATCCCTACGGCTGTGTCCCCTTATTCTGCACCATCCGGGCACTCAGGCCACCCACCCATTCCCACCTGCCCCTGGGGATTTAGCCTGAAAGCAAACAAACACCAATATGACATTGAAGCTTCCCCCTGCGTGCCAGAGGCGTCCTCCCCACGGTCCTGACGGCGGTCTGTGGATTCTTGTTCACTCCCAGGACTGTCAGGGACTGAACTCTGTCCCCCTAAAAGCCTGTGGTGATGCCCTTGCCCCAATGTGAGTACTTGGAGAAAGGGCCTGAGGGAGGGAGTAACGGTAAATACGGTCATAGGGTGAGACTCTAATCCAAAACCACTGGTGTCCTTGTAAGAGGAAGCACCACTGAGCTCTCCCCTGCTCTCTGCATGCACAAAGGAAAGGCCATGTGAGGACACGGCAAAAAGGCAGCCATCTGCAAGCCACAGAGAGAGGCCTCGCTAACCAACCCTGACAGTACCTCCATCTTGGACTTCTAGTTTCCAGAACTGTGAGGAAATGCATTTCCGTCGCGTAAGCCACCCTGCCTGTGGTGGTTTCTTACGGCAGCCCTGGCAAAGTAACACGGCTCTAAGGGCAGCAACCAACAAGAATGCAACGGGCCAGTGCTTAGGGAGCACAGAAGGTGTGGCTAAATCAGACCCTCTGCTCAGGGCTTTGGGGGACACCCAGGGCCCTGCACAAGAGCGCTGCCTTCGCCGGGGCCGGTTTGGCTCAGCGGATAGAGCGTCGGCCTGCGGACTGAGAGGTCCCGGGTTCGATTCCGGCCAAGGGCATGTACCTGGGTTGCGGGCACATCCCCAGTGGGAGATGTGCAGGAGGCAGCCGATCGATGTTTCTCTCTCATCGATGTTTCTAACTCTCTATCTCTCTCCCTTCCTCTCTGCAAAAAATCAATAAAATATATTTAAAAAAAAAATAAAAAAGCGCGCTGCCTTCAAGGCCTTACATTTGACTGTGGGGGGACAGGAGGAGCTGGATTGGATGGGAGGCTAATATGAGAGATGTCTCCATGGTTGATGACCAAGTGAAGGATACAGCCAAGCACTGTCTACAAAGAGCTTCACGAAGAGGTCCCAGGAGGCACAGCTCTTCAAGGGCAGCTGGGGATAGGATAGGTGGGGAGATAAGGGAGGCAAGGGTCTATGGGGGGTTGCATCAAGGGCAGAGAGGAATGAGGCACTGCATTCCATCCCTGAAATGTCACTGAATGAAGTGTGACCTTTGGTTTACAGGGAAGGACACTGAAGCGCAGAGAGGACAAGCAACTTGCCTGAGGCCACACAGCATTTTAATGAAAGTGCCAGAACCATAAAGTTGTCATCCATCAAACTGAGAGCTCCCTCAGTATCCTACTGCATCTGTGCCCACCCCCAGCAGGGCCCACGGCCATGCCCACCTGGTACAGGTGGCCAGACACATGGCGTTGGCTTCCCCGATGTCAGGACACGCAATAGCCTCTTCGAACCAGGCAGCAAACTGCTTCAGGGGGTCCAGAGAGGTCAGCTGAGCCTCCTCAAATGCCTGGGAAGGAAGGGTTTTATTTCATTTCATAAACACACATATTGCTTAATGGGTACGTAGACCTATTCTAGGCGCTTGTCAAATACTAACTTATTTAATCCTCATCACAAAACACAGTACCCAGGAAGCAGGTTCTGTTAGCCCCATATCACAGGTGGGGACACAGGCAGGAGGACGGAGACTGGCTGACAGCTGGTGACGGACGATGAGTCGGGGCTTCCTGTCATGGGTGTCAGACCTACCATTTGGAAAGCCCTTTTTTTAAAAAAAGACAGATTCTGGATTCTGCCCTTGTAAGTCCTCATTCAGTGGGTCTAGGGGTCAGTGGAAAACCGCATGTTTACCACAGTTCTCTGCGTTCCTCTCGGGAGGAGGAGGAGGAAGGAAAGGAGGTTCTCCGGGGGGGAAGCGAGGGGAACGCGTTCTCCCTCCGGCCCCGTGAGTGTCTGCCGCCCCCACGTTTTGCTCACCAAACACCGACAGGCTGACCGTCCCTGCGCTAAGCACGTCACACACCTGAGTCCACCACTTCCCAGGTGAGGAGCGGAGGCCGGAGGTTAGGTCACCTGCCCCGGGGGTGCACCTCGTGGATGGAGGGCGGGCTCCAGCGGCGCCATGCCCCCCAGCACAGCGGCCTTCCGACCCCGTCTGCGTCCGGCTTCCCCGGAACCTCTCCCCCGGCGGTTGCCTCTGAACCCTCCCCTCTCCTCTCCTGGGGATGGCCTCAAGCCCCTGCGTCCCACCGGGTGGCCCCAGAAACCCCGTGGGGTTCCTCCCACTCCCCCCTGGCCCCCCCCCCGCCCCCTCCGATGATTTGCGAGCCCTTGTCCCCCCCCCCCCCCCCCGCGGAGACCCCGCCCGGCGACGACACCTCTCGGTCCCCGCGGTAACTCTTGCGCATCGGCCCCAGATCCATGTCGGCTCCACGGCTGCACAGGTGGCTGCACAGGTGACGAAGGTGGCGGGGCCGCTCGGCCAGTCGCCAGAACATCACGTTGACGCACGCGACGGGGCCGTTGGTCACGTGACCCGGCGTCGCCCGGCGCCGGGTTCCGGCATATTCGGAACCTGTTCCTCAGTCCCGAGTCCACCCCCGGGAAGGAAGGTTTGTCCGTCTCCCAGCCCAGATACCCTAAGTCCTCGGAGCCAATGGGAGCCCAGGGTCGGAGGAGGGAGACAGGCGCTGGGACTCCATTGGCCGGAGTTTCCCGGAGCGCGGCCAATGACAGCGAGAACAGAGGAAGCCAGCGGCCAATGGGCGGCGCCGCAGGGGGCGGGAGCAGGGAGACAAGGAAATTCTGTCACCGCGGTTAACACGCACGTGGAGGTTTGTTAAAGGTATCGGGCTGCTGCCTCCCGGGCCGGGGGCGGTGGGTGAGCCGCTGGGGGCTCGAGGGGAAGGGTCAGTGTGAAGTGGCTGGCCCCTGGTCGGTGCCCGAAGGCGGGCCTAGTGCAGGAAGTGTCCCTGCGGGGCAGGCTGGTGGCCTGGGAACGGACCAATGGAAATGGAATTAGGGGCCAGACCCTAAGGCAAGGTGGTGGGGAGACGGAGAAAGAGGACACCTGGTTTGGGGGAGAAATCAAGGCTTGAGAGTAGGAGAGGTTGAAGTGACTAGTGACCCCTCCAAATAGGTGCTGTGTAGTGTGTATGTATGTGTGTGTGTGTTTGGGGGCGGGGAGGCGGGGATGAGAAGGAAGACAGCTGAATGGGAAAGGGGAAGAGGGAAATTTGGGATCAAGCTGTCCCAGACCAGCACCGTCTTCCTCCTCCAGCTCTGAACGCCCTCTCTCCAGCCTCATTTCTTTCACCCCAGGCCAGAGCATGCTGCTTTCTTTACTCATGGCCTCCCCTCTCCTGATGCAGCAGACCAGCCAGGTGGATGGAAAGCTTACCTCTGCCCCCCCTCCCCCCCCCCCCCCCCCCGCCTCCCCCTCTCGGCCGAGTTTCCCCTTTTTCACCTCTTGCCCTTCCTGGAGAGTTGGAGTTTGGTACTTAAGTCAATGCCAGCCATAGCTGAGGGCACAGGAGAGCAGGTGGCCGTGCCAAGCCATTTCCAGGATGCAGGGCTGAGAAACGGGAAACCTGCCATTGCCTACCCATTCCAGCTTTGGCCTGGCTGGGGCAGCCGTGGGTCAAGGCCTCTCTCTAGTCCTCGTTTCCACCATCATCAGGAATGGGAGCTGCGAGAACCATCTAGGCAGGCACCCCAGGACTGTCAGGTAAGGGAACCTCCTGCCCTGCCCAGGTGTCTGCATGACAGCTAAGCTTCATAAAGCTCTACTTTCGATACCTGTCATCCTTTATCACGGGCACATAGCTTGAGCCAAATAGAATCTGGAAGACAAATTTGCTGCAAAGAAATAACACATGTCTCAAGGCTTAATAATATTCATCTATAGATTCTCCACTGGTTAGAATTTTTTGCTGCATTGTTTTCCTCCGTCAACATGATTGAGAGAGAGCTGACAGGACTTCCTTTCTTATTGAAGTTGTCTTTCCACGTATGAACATTGCTGTCCTTCCCTCCTCCCAGCACCTGCATTTAAATCTGTGTAAGCAGTCATTAGTGCCCTTCAACTCAGTCGGTTTTGTTCATGGGCCCACACCCTTAGCACCCCTGGGATGTGCTACCCTGGACCCAGGATTCTAGGGCACCAAGACAAGGATAATTTGAATGGTTTTAATTAAACCATTACAGTACAGTTGACTCTTGAACAATGCAAGGGTTAGGGTCGCTGACCCCTCCCCAATTGAAAATTCACGTATAACTTTTGACTCCCCCAAAATTTAGCTACCAGCAGCCAACTGTTGGCCAGAAGGCTTACTGATAACATAATCAGTCAATTACCACATGTATTATATGCTGTATTCTTAGAAAAAAAGTAAGCTAGAGAAAAGAAAATTTTAATGAGAAAATCATAAATAAGGAGAAAATACATTAACAGTATTGGGGGAAAAAATCCATGTATAAGTGGACCCATGCAGTTCAAAACCGTGTTCAAGGGCCAACTGTATAGATATTTATTCCTTCAGTTGACATTTATTAAAGACTTCTTTAGGACCAGGGACTGAGCTAGGTGTGAGCATACGAAGATGAAGATGGCACGGTTCCTGCCCACAGGGTTTTGTAGTCTGTAGGGGGAAGCAGATCTGTAAGCTGAAGAGTTACAGGTGCTTCTGTGAGGAGACGGGGAGCAAACAGGAGGAAGTGGCCTCTGGGGTTCCAGCAGTCAGGAATCTTTCGTAAAGGGAGCAGACATTGTATTTGTCTTAATGAGTATGTGTTAGCAGATGGACAGTGGAACAAGCGTGCCAGGACGAGGGAACAATGTGAGTAGAAGCTGGGTGCCTTGGGGAGATTTGGAGCAGGGTGATCCTGCTGGAACGGGTGGTGAGGATGCGAGCCGGGCACTTAGGCAAGGGCGCGGCGTGCCAGCTTTGAGGATCAGGCAGATGGCATGGGTTAGGCTTTTAGACAACGATTCTTTTTTTATCCTTTGCTGTTGTCGAACCACAGTGTCTAATTCCTCTATTTTAAAGACCAGGTGAGAAAAAGTAGATTCCAGCAGCCTCTCCCCTTCTCGGCAATTAGCGAGGAAGCTTGCAACTGGTTGCCTTGTACTATTTCCCCCTTTGTCTTGAGATAATAAGTAGGCTTGCATGGTGCTTTTCTGCTTTGTGGGATTTGGTGTCCGGATTACAAAGCAGCCCCGCAGTGCAAGAAGGAGTGGGGAACACACCCACTGGGGGTGCCTCTACTGCTGTGCCCTCAGCAAGGGTTTTGCCTGTGTGGGAGAAATGAATTTTGTATTGTCACTGCTTTTTATTAAATATTTTGCCACCCTCCCCTCCCCACTTGGTAAATTTATTAATCTTTTCTCCAGAATCTTGGATGGAAAATATATTGCAATATTTCATTGTACAGAGAGGCACACTGGTTTCTCCATATGAAACAAAGAGGCTGCAGGTGGGTTTGGGGACTACGCTTTGCCTGTTTTCTTTCAAAGCTTTTTAAAAAATATTTATTTTTATTGATTTCAGAGAGGAAGGGAGAGATAGAAACATCAATGATGAGCCCTGACTGGTTTGGCTCAGTGGGTAGAGCGTCAGCCCGTGGACTGAAGGGTCCTGGGTGGGTTTAATTCTGGTCAAGGCCATGTACCTTGGTTGCGGGCTCGATCCCCAGTAGGGAGTGTGCAGAAGGCAGCTGATCGGTGTTTCTCTCTCATCGATGTTTCTAACTCTCTGTCTCTCTCCCTTCCTCTCTGTAAAAAAAATCAGTAAAGATATTTTAAAAAAATCTATGATGAGAGAGAATCACCGATCAACTGCTTCCTGCATGCCCCGTATTGGGGATCAAGCCCTGACCGGGAACCAAACCATAATCTCCTGGTTCATAAGTCGATGCTCAACCACTGAGCCACACCGGCTGGGCATTCTTTTGCATATATGTTCTGAAATCATCCTTTAGTCTAAATGACTGGATTATATATTTCTATTATAGCTTAGTGGCTGTGTTTTGGGACCTGGTGACCAAGTGGATGGTGGGTGAAGGAGGTCAAGACACTGCAGTGTTGTCCAAACTGAAGCAGGACCCTGGCGCCTCAGTGTGTGGGTGGGCGGAGATGGAGAGGAGGGGAGTCAGCTCACCAGGATGACTTCAGGCGACATGGGTGGTGCTGTTCGTTGAAGTGGGACATTAGTTAGAGGAGGAGGTTTGGGGGAGAGCTGAAGTCACCGTGGAGTGTGAGGGTTTATGGGACACCCACGTTCAGTCTGATTATATAATTGAGTCTGGAGTTCAGGAGAGAGGTCTGGGCTAATGAGACCAGGTTAGGTGTCATGAGCCACCGAAGTGGCACCTGAAACCATGGGGGAGGGTGAGCATGTCAGAGGGTCTGGGAGAGTTAAGGACAGGGGGAGAGGGGAGAGGTGCAGGAGGATGGAAATGATACAGTGCCCAGCTTTCCAGGGGGCTGATGGCAGGCTGGGTGTGTGTGTGTGTGTGTGTGTGCGCGCGCGCGTGTGCGTGCTGGGGCCTCTAAGCTCGGGAATTCTTGGGCCCAGCTTGGGGTGAACTCAGGACACACAGAAGGGTGGGTGCTTGGTGTTCTGCCAGCAGATGCCTGAGTCCCAAGTATGGTTATCAGGGGACCCAGAGGAGAGATGCAGAGGAGACTGACTTAGCTGAGTGTCCTGTGGTTATGGGGTTGACGCCTCACATGATTCTTGCATGTGCTCGTGGGTCACTTTGCAAATACATCCTATGGTTTTCATACGTGTTCCCCATTAGGAGCTCCTTAATGGGATGGACTGTGTCACTTACTTTCTCTGGCTCCTTCTCAGCATGCCAGCCAGGAAATGCTAATCTGTCATGTTTATGCACAAACTGTTTTGTTAAGCCTCTCTGTAGCCAGTGCGAGGCATGGTGAGTAGGGCTTGGGTTGTTTTTGTGTGTGTGTGGTTTTGTGTGTTCTTTTTTCTTTTCTTTTTTTTCTTTTTTGCACATGGTGGGAGCCTGGCCAAGTGTCCTTGTTGGCTGGAGGGCTGTTAAGCTTTCCGAGGCTGAGTGAGGTCTCAGGGCACCAGGCTCATTTGTGGCACTGGCCGCGTTGTCATTAGCGTGTGGGCCACAGGTAGGAGGCCTGATAGCAGGTTCCCAGGCAGGCCCACGGATGTGACCTGGCGATTCTTAGTTTCATGGGGAGATCCTGAGTGTTGGTAGGTGTTTGACTCTCTTCTCCAGCCCGGTTCCCTGCCGTTTCCCACTACGGTTTGCTTTCTTTTCACCCGCATCCCTGTTCTTTATTCCATCTTCCCTGATCCACTTTCTGCCTCTTCTCCTCCCTGAGGACCCCTTCACTAGGACACCCAGCTGCCACCTGTCCTGAGATTCCTGTAGTTCCTTTAGTGGCTTTATCCCAGCCCCACAGGCCTTGGTCAGGTTACAAGAGGTCTCTGTCCTGAGAGGGTGCGTTAGGTTCCCATGTAGGCCTCAGCCACATCCATGAGCCAGGAGCCCCTGATGGGTCCAGGGACCTGAGATGCTGCAAGTGGCTCCCATCATCATACTCACGTAGGGCCTCAGTGAGCCCCCAAAAGGCGATTGAAGAAATGGACTGAGTAGTTTGAAGGAAGCCTGAGTTCTATTTGCTGGTTTGATTTTTTTTTTTTTAAGGGCAATTTGCCTGGATTTGCCTTCAGTATGGGGGGAACTTCCCCAGCCCTCTTTTCTTTCCGGTTTATAATTCTAGGATCTGGAATCAAAGAGCTGCTGCTGTGTTGAGCATCACTGAGCAGACAAGATGGGGCAGGGAGGGTGGCTTTGGTACAGATGACCCTGAGGATGGAAATGTGGGCGGCATGGCCCCACACTCCCAAGCTGCTGGGGATAGCCTGCCCATCAGGTGTCCTGGGGTGGCTCTAGCCTGGACAACAGTCCACCACCCCCTGCAACTCACAAGTAAATTAACGGATGGGCTGCAGCAGATGAGGGCTCATTTGCCACCAGGTTTCTCCATTCTGCCCTCATGCCATTTCCTGGGCTAGGCAGAATACATTCTCTTGCCCGCTTCCTAACTCGGGCATCTCATGGGAGGCAGAGATGGCCAGGCGTAACTTTGGAACCTGCCTCGTGGAGAAGGGGAATCCCGCGTGTCGGCACTCAGTTCTGCCCTCGGGGCTGGCACCCTCATTTCCAGAGGATGCCCAGGGGTCGGTCAGTTTCCGCACTGGAAGCAGATGACTTGGAATCAGCTCTCAGGAAAGGATGACTCCTTGTGCCTGATGGCAAAGGCTGTGGGGAACGTGGGAGGAAGAGGTCCGTTTGCTAATATTCCCCTTCTCTCCACCAATCCTAATTCAGAACTCAGCCAGGCGTTTGTTTTCAGTCGCACCATCCACGCGAGAGGAAGAGAGAAATACACCCCCGTCTTCCACCTGCCAGTGAAGCGATGAGATGCCGGGCTGATGGGCTCATTAAGAGGCTTCTGTGTCAGAGTTGGTCTGGTATCACTCAGAGGACTTAAGTATGGGTAGGACGGGGCTTCCTGCCTGATCACGAAGAAGTGATGGAGACAGAGAACCTGTGATCCGTCTGAGGTCCGGCTCCCTTTTATTTCTCCGGCGGAAGTGGGTGAGGGTGGACTGGCGTGAAGGAAGAGCTGTTTACTTGCAAATGCAGCCGCTGGCGACAAAGGAAAGAGTAAGGGAGTGGATAGCTCCAAAGGAGCCTTGGCGCTCCTGCACGGAACAGCGACCCTGGGTGCAGTGCACCCTTCAAGGTGAGTAAAAAGGCACCGTCCGTGTAAGGAGAGCACATGCTGTTCCTTATCTGCTTGGGAATAACTCTCTCCCTTCAGCCCAGTTGCTCTTAGCATCCCGCCCGTGTACTCCAATCAAAATCTCCGTAACATCACAACCTTGACCTCCTTCATACCTCTCTGCTTCCCCCGCAAATCCCCACCAAGATGTGAATCTGCAACACTTGGTGAAAACAAAACAGCTCACTGCCCCCCTGGTGCTGGGGTGATGGGTAGAGAAAAGCAGAATCTGTGGCCGGGGTCCTCTCTTGGATAGACATGGGCTCCAGGCCTGGCTCTCCGCCCTGGGAAGGGATCTGGGTCCTTAGCAATTTCGTTTTCTCCAGACTCTTCAGCCTCTGGAAATGACAGAGCCAGGCCCCTTTGGCTGTCTCTCCCAAGTGAGAGCAAGACCTATGTCTGGGCGTTGGAGAGCTGAGTGGAAGAAGTAGTTTGCTGGTAAGGGAGACATTGCTGTGACTTGAGTCTGAACAGTGTGCCTGCTTTGATCTGGGCAAAACTGGCTATAGAAGAACAAAGCAGGAACACCTGTGCTAGGCCTGTCCCCCTGGAGGGCCCACCCAGGTGCTCTGGGGGCTGGTGCCAATGCCATGAGGTCTGTGTGGCCGCGACCCTTTCAGGCCAGGAGAGGAAGGTCCTGCTTGGTCCTAGGTGGACCACTCAGACCAAGGTTCCCTCCCCTCCGTCCCCCCTCCAAGCTCTATGAGGTCAAAGACAAAGGAAGCTGCACTGCCAAGTTGCGGATTTTGCCTCAGGCAACTAAATTTATTAGCAAGAAAAAATTTTTGTCAGCCCAATGCTGAACAACAAAGTACATCGTTAATAAAGGATAACAAATCTGTCAATCATAAAACATACCTCAAGCAGTTACAACTAAAAATAAAGTTGTATTTTGTTTTTAATTTAAAAGCCTCAAAAATAACAAGCAATATGTTTTTAAACATGTAGTAGACACAATTGTCTATTATACAATATACACTGTACATAACTAGAGCTTGGGCCAGTAGGGGTAGGTGAGATGAAGGGAGAGCGGAAAGGTTCAGGATGTGAAGTTTTTATCTGAATCCAGATTCAAATTGAAATGCTGTGTCATTTAGAAAAGAGAACTGCTAGTGAGAAAAAAACCCATATGCTCATCACTGCCCCCCAAAACCCTAAACTGAAAGCAGGCGTGGGGGAGTGAGTAACAGTACAGGAGGAAGGGAGCAATTAAATAAAACTTTAAAGCACACACAATACACAGTGTTCATTATCTGAAATAGAGTATAAGGCAACGTTCTCCATAGAAAAAGGGGGATCAGGGAGTCCGTGGTAGTTTCATTTTTAAATAGAAAGTTGGAATGTGCTGGAGAAGAGCTGTGGCAGGGCGAGGCGTGTGGCGTGGAGGCGGCCTCTTGAGCCTGGCAGGAGGTGGATGCCGGTGGTGTCCTGGGTGGTGCCCTGGGGGCAGGGCCCGGGCGTCTGAGGTGCCGGGGCCAGGGAGGTGCAGGAGAGCGGGGCATGGCACGGTGATGCGACTCTCGCAGTGTTTGGGGGGGGAGGGGAGGACTCACTTTGCTCCTCGATGGAGTGAAATTCATGTTTTTCCTTTGGAAATAAAGGTTCCCACTCGTCCTGGTTTAGAACGTCTCATTGGGAGAGCCAGTGTCCCCGGTCTGGTGAGAGGCAAGGGCCAGGGCAGAGCCAAGGGCTTCAGCAGAGGCGAGTGTGGGGCAGCAGAACCCCCTCCTGTGAGGACAGTTGCAAAACAGGAGGGCGGGGCTGAGGGCAGGCCCAGGACCGCCGGGCCTCCTTTCCACCAGGGGAGGGGCTGCATCTTCGGGCATCCCGCCTCAGTGGGCCTTACAAGTTCTTCGTGACCAGGTGCGTCTTGTAATGTTTGGTGAGGTGATCACTCCGCATGAAGCGCTTCTGACACTGGGCACACTCAAAGCGTTTGTCCCCTGGGAAGAGGAGATGGCCATCACTCAAGAGCTCATTCACAGACTACCCAGCCCCCCAAGAGGAGAGGCACACGTGACATCAAGCTTGTGATGTCAAAAACAATAGTGATTGCGCCCTAGCTGGTTTGGCCCGCAGACCGAACGGTCCCAGGTTCGATTCTGGTCAAGGGCATGTATATTGATTGCAAGTTCCCTGGCCCTGGTCGGGTGCATGCAGGAGGCAACCAATCGATGTGTCTCTCTCACATCAATGTTTCTGTCTCCCTCTCCCTTCCACTCTTTCTAAAAATGAATGGGAAAAAATGTCCTCAGGTGAGGATTAACAATAACAACAACAAAATAATAATAATAGTGATTGGACCCATAAATGAGTGAAAATAGTGAAACGATTTCAGGACAATCATTCAGGAAATAATAATAGGAAAGGCAATATGGGGTAGCAATTAAGAGTGTGGACTTGGTAGTAACAGCTCAATGTAGTGCTGTTCCATCCTTGACAATCTGAAATCATAATACCTGTAATTGAAATAGATGGGCTAGCCCAGCTGGTGTGACTCAGTGGTTGAGTGTCGACCCAGGAACCAAGAAGTCAATGGTTCGATTCCTGGTTGGGACACATGCCCGGGTTGCAGGCTTGATCCCCAGTAGGGGACATGCAGGAGACAGCCAACTGATGATGTTTCTCTCTCATTCATGTTTCTATCTCTCTCCCGCTCTTTCTCAAATCAATAAAAACATTTGAAAAAAAAAGAAGAGAGAAATAATAGATGGGCTAGCCCTAGCTGGCTTGGCTCAGTGGATAGAGCATCGGCCTGTGGACTCAAGGGTCCCTGGTTCTATTTGGTTGTGGGCTCGATCCCCAGTGGGGGGCATGCAAGAGGCAGCCAGTCAATGATTCTCTCTCATCATTGATGTTTCTATCTCTCCTCTCCCTTCCTGTCTGAAATCAATAAAAATATATTTAAAAAAATAATAGATGGGCTAAAGTTGTAGCTCCTATCAACATTCCTCGGGATTATTCTATAACTTGTCTTTAATGTAGAAATGTATAGTTTCATCGATATGATTATATTTCAAATGGGGGGGGAGAGTGTGGATTTGGGAGCCAGGGGGCCTGCGTCTGAACCCAGCTCCACTAGCCGAGACCGAGCCACTTCTCCATGCCTCAGTAAAAGGGGCATGATCGAAGCACCCTCCCCATAGAGTTGTCCTGAGGATTGAATTAGTCGGCTGTAAAGTGCGCAGTATAGTTAGTGCCTGGCATACGACGTCAGTGCTTGTTACATAAATAACTGCAGCTATGGAAGAAGTCATCAAGGCTGCATGATGCTTTGGGAAACACTGATAAAGGAATGGCCTGAAAGCATTTCCTGGGTAGGCTTGGAGCCCTGAGAAGACAGCCTGTAGCTCCTGCTCAGTGTGGCAGTTCCTCAGCAGGGCCAGGAGTCTGGATGCCACTGAGGGCAATGGAGTGGGGGTGCAGGGAGTGGTGGGGGGAGGACCCGTGTGGTTGCAAGCCTGCCAGGGAAGGGGGTGAGAAGCCGTCTGGGAGGCAGTGTGCCACTGGGGAGAGGGAACAGACCTGTGTGGGTGCGAGCGTGCCGCTGGAGTTCATCACTTCGTGTGAACCTCTTTCCACAGAAGAACCAGTTGCAGACAAAGGGCCGCTCGCCGGTGTGCAGGCGCACGTGGGCCCGCAGCAAGGATGTCTTCCGGAAAGTCTTGCCACAGTCGGGGATATGGCACACGTGCTTCTTCTTGCCCTGCTCTCCAGACCTGGGAATGGCGAGTGGGAGGGAGGGAAAGGGAAACGTAGTGAGGAAGGAACAGAAGATGGGGGCAGGATGGGATGGAGAGAGGATGTGGGGGCAGGTCAGAGAGCAGAGGAGGTGAGGAGGCAAGGTGGTGTGGAGTCGCTGCCTTGGCCCCCCCCCCCCCCCCCCCCCCGATCTGTGTCCCAGGAAGGGCTTGGGGAACAGGCACAGGCCAGGCAGCCAGGCTGGCTCCCGTTACCTCTTGTCCCCGTCCTTGCAGTTGGGACATGTGCAGGCCATGCGGCGCCGCTTCTCCCCGGGCTGGGCCTCTCCCGACAGGGCCTGCTCCATCTGCAGCTGGATTTGGGTGGGGCTCAGCCCGCTGATGGTCAGGTTGTTCCCAGAAACGTTCTGCACCGTCAGCTGCTGCTGCCCTGTGGGGGTGGCAGGGCATGGCTGGGTGAGGAAGCCTGAAGGGACAGAGCAGGGCGCCTGACACCCTCCTTCCCTTCTGCACACGATAAGGACAACCAGATAGCAAATGCTTCTGAGAGCCTGTTATATGCCAGATACGCCTGCAACCTTCAGTCCCATCAAACAGATATATTATCCTCCTTTCACAGTTGAAGAAACAGGCCCAATAACATATCGAGGTCACACAGCTAGTAAGTGGTAGGACTCGGGTCCGAACCCAGGCAGTTGACGTCAGCATCAACGTGCTGAACCACCACACCATACCAGCCAAACGTGCTTTCACATATTTCAATTGGGAAGGGTCTTGTCTTGAGGGGTGTTTCTTCCAGAATTTCCTCCAGCCTTAGGCTCTTGTGAGATACCTGCTCTCAAGAAAGTCTCCAGGGATTTCTGTTAAGAGTAAGAGCCAGGCTGGTGTGGTTCAGTGGTTGAGCACTGACCCATAACCAGGAGGTTAGGTGTGATTCCTGGTCAGGATACATGCCGGGGGTGGGGGGTGGGTTGCAGGCTTGATCCCCAGTAGGGGGCGTGTAAAAGGCAGCCAGTCAATGATTGTCTCTCATCACTGATGTTTCTATCCCTCTCTCTGAAATCAATAAAAACATATTTAAATAAAGAAGACAGTTCTGAGGGCTTTGGAAAAAAAAACCAGTCCCCTAGGACTTGCATAAAGCCTTTCAAAGCAGGGGAGTGCTGCTGGCCTATTGCTGGTGTTCAAGTGCCACTACCCTGTAAAGGCCTTCACCTGGCTAAAGAAGGCAAGGCAAGGCAAGGAACCGTTTTTGCTAGGTAGCTACAATATTCCTTTGCTGATTTGCAACGCTGCTTTCATACTGTAAATATTACCAAATATTCCCACTCAGCAGAAGTGAAGCACAAGCCAATCCCACTGCCAAAGGCTCCTTCCTTTCCTCCCAACGTTAACTCAAGGCTTTCCTCATTCTGGAAGTCTTCCTTCAAGTTTCTTTACCCCGGGCCTCCCTTGAAGATGTATCTGTCTTTGGTCTGTACCAAACGAATTTGCATTTGGTGTTAGCTGGAGTTTTCTCCTAGTATATCTTATTCTCTCCACCATATTCGAGGTCTTCAGCTGTAAGTTGGGGCCAATAGCATCTTACACTACCTCGCAGGGCTAAGGACCGAGTGGACATGCTTTTAAGCGGGAAAGGCTGAGACAGTGTCGGGTATTATCCTCACTCCTGTTCCTGGGAAGCACGGGGCTGGCGCCCAGTTCCGATGCGAGGGATGTGCAGGCACCACCCACGCCCCAGCCAAGGGGTCTTCCCTCACCGCCGGCGTTGGTGATGGTGACAGGCACACCCTGGACTTGGACACCATTGATGTTGATGGTCTGCATGGCCTGGGCCGCCGCCGCCAGCTGGGCTGCATTCAGGCTGATGATGCTCCCGGCAGGGGCGATCTTTGGCAGGGGACGCTCTTTCCGGAGAATCGCGGCTGAGTGTTTTTTGCTGGTCCCGCTCGGATGGGGAGCACGGGGTGCAGGACTGCTACAAGTGGTGGCGGAGGTGGGTGCAGCTGTTGCTGGGGAGCTGTCCTGGAGAAGGACCGTCTGCACCTCACCGGAAGGCGTACGGAAGTAGACCTGGGAGGGACCAGAGAGAAAACGTCAGTGTCCCAGGAGAGTCTGGTTCCCGCACTTACTGCCCACCCCAAACGATACTGACTCTGAACATTCAGATCAAATCGGGAAATGCACCAGCAGATCTTCAAAGGCAAGCTGAGTGGAGCGCTAGCCAGTTAGTGCTAAGGAGAGGAAGGCAGGTGCAGAGGGTGTGCGTGGTACCTGAGTAGGCGTTGGCTCGGCCGCCTGGATCTGAAAGTTCTGGGAGGGCTTCTGGGGGACAGTGGGGAGGGTGGCAGATGCCGCCTGCACCACTCGCAGGGCCTGCTGGGGGATCTGCACCACCTGCTGCTGCTCGGCCTTGGGGGGCACCACCTGGACCTGCTGGACCACAGCTGGCTGGCCCCCGCCAGGGCTCTGAACAATGAGCAGGTTGTTTCCTGCCTGGATGATGTTGTCCGCTGTGGTCTCGATCAGCACCGTCTCCACCTGCTCAGCCACAGCCACCGAGGGCTGGGAGGCAGGAAGACTCTTCTTCCTGGCTTTCTTATTCGTCTTGGACAGCGGGATGGGAGGACTCTCTGTGAGGAGCTGAGTGGAGGCCCCGGTGTCGCTGGTGTTCACAAGGTTGTTGACAGGCAGAGTAAGTGTCACGTTGCCACCCCCACCCGTCAGCTTCACCACATTGGCCCCGCTCTGCACGGGGGTGGTAGTTGTACTTGACTTTTGGGCAGGGGCTGGCTTGATGGGGACAGGCTTGTGACCGGATGGTGAGGGGGTGATGATGGCTTGGTTGGTGCCAGGGATGATCTGGATTTGGTTGGCGAGATTGGGCTGTACTTGGATGGTCTGGCCACTGCTCGCCTGAATCTGAGAGACTGCCTGGTACTGGATGTTGGCATTTGTTCGGGTCCCTTTGTTAATCACAGTGGGATTCTGGATGGCGAACACCAGCTGACCCCCAGGATAGGATGTGCTCAGTTGTGACCCTTGAATCTGAAGTATGTTTCCTTTGGAGGACAAGATTCCAAAGCTATTCTTGCCGGGGCTGAGAGGGAGAGGGGCAGGTTTGATAGGGACCAGTTTTCGTGGTGTGGGCTGTGGGGGAGCAGGAGGCGTCACAGCAGCCTCAACAGCTGGAGGCCCAATTTTGCTACATGTTGCAGCAAGCAGGGCTAAGGGAGATGGCTGGGAATCCTGCAAAAAACCCAGAGGAGAAAAGGAGTGAGACGTGAGGGCCTGTAGCCCAGCCACCCTCTGCCTGTTTTGATCCTCTCCTCTTGGCAGGTTCCACCCCACTTCCATGGCAGGCAGGGTGCCAGCACCCTCCCCCTGCAGTGGTCCTGTTGTCCCTGCTGGTTTCTCCATCCTATATAGTAAAACCCTAATATGCAAATCAGCCAAACAGCAGAACCACCAGTTGCGATGACGGACTGACCACCAGGGGGCAGATGCTCAATGCAGGAGCTGCCCTCTGGTAGTCAGTGCACTCCCACAGCGGCAGAACCCTCAGCCAGAAGCCGGCACATGGCTGGCGAGTGCAGTGGCGGTGGCCGAAGCCTCTCTCCCACCTCTGGACCCCTCAGGGGATATCCGACTGCCAGCTTAGGATATATCCCCCGAGGGGTCCCGGACTGGGAGAGGGTGCAGGCTGGGCTGAGGGACCCCTCTCTCCCCCAGTGCACAAATGACGTGCACCGGCCTCCACTTGAGTAATAAGGGAGAAAGGGTGGGAAATGTCTTTCTCAGGAGGGAGTGCCCCAGAAGCACCCAGGACAGGGTGAACTAGCAGCATGAGCTGGCCACTTACTCCCCACTGGCCTTGTTTCTGACAGGGCACAGAACCACCCTGAGCTCGTACGTGGAGTTCCGTTGGCCCACCACAGGGATTACGGGATCCCCGATTCCTCAACTGAGGAAGGGAGAGAGGGAAAGGAAAAGGGAGGAGCCACAAGAGGAGTAACCCTCTGGTCAAGTGTTTTCTAGGGACATGACTTCACTGACCAGGGAATGCTGCTCTTTTGAGGCTACAAGGCAGTCTCTGGGCTTTGGGGACACAGCCTCTATTTTCCTTATATGGTCAGTGGAGCTAGTGGAAGAGACCTTGAGTTTAATCCTGCTTCCCCCTGACCCAACTGTGGTCTCTTAGGTTAGTGGCCATGGTTTCTTAATTCAGAAACAGTAGATAACTGAACTCCCCCTGGTCTCCTGTCCTGGGGTGTTTACAGTGAGTGCTCAGTCTGGTTGAATGGCAGCTTCAGGAGTCCTTCCGGGCTGATGCAGCCCCCCACCCTCAGAGCCCACTCACCTGGGAGCTGGAGGCAGCGGGCTGCAGGTAGTCACTGGGACTGACAGCAGCAGTGGCAGCCATGCTGGTGTGTGGATCTGCTGGAAGAAAAGAAAGTCATGCACAAAATGCCCCCAAAGAACCCAAACCCACTTGGCTGGTATTTCCGTTTTGTCTCTTTGCTGCCGCTTCTCTAAGAGCTTTCCCCACACTGACCCACTCAAGCTGAGCAACCTGCATCTTTTCAGCAGGCGCCCTTCTCCTCTCCTCAGACTCAGCCATCCACGGCTGTGAGGACAGCTGGACCTGCCTTTCCTGGACTGTCCCCTCCAGCCAACATAAAGCCTGAGATAACACGAAGATGCTGAGATTATACCAAGAGCAGCTTCCGTAACTGCACCATGAGCCTAGGGAGCCCTGCTGACTCTCCCTAGGTCAGGACCCCTGCATGGTGGGTGGGGAAGCCCCTCCCCCAGCTACTCCTCCAGCCCTGACCCAGGTTTCCTGCTCACTGCTGTGGCCAGACGCCAGGCCAGCCTGGAAGAGAAGCTTGGCTCAGTCAGGATCCCTGACAAGGAGGACACAGCTACTCCATGCCCAAGTCCTGGGTGCTTTATGCTCAGCCTTCACCACAAAGGCCCAGGTATTGATCTATAGCATATGGAGAAGTGCTTTATGTGAATTTACAATAGGGATGGCCCCATACTAGGTATCACCTGGTTGGCCCAATAGGTAACTGAATAAAATGAGAATAAAGATAGAGTAAATTCTGTTTTTGTTTAAATGTATATGTATTTCAATATATGAATATAGCAGGAAAAAGTCTTAAATTGCTAAAATGTTAAAAACCATTATCTCCTGGTAGTTGGATTTTGCTTGACTAAGAGAATTTTTCTCCTTGTTTTTCTCTGTATTTTGTCATTTTCTCACAATAAATATATTCTATTGTACTCTTTTTAAAATAAAGGAAGATAAAGAACATTGAGGAAGTAATTAAAGGAATCTCTGCTCTGAATTAAGTCTCACCTAAGATAAATATAAGATAGGTAAAATGGAAATCATGACAATTGGGGGAAAGAATCTAAGCTATCTTACAGTTCATACATCACTGAAGAAAACAGGACACTGGGCAGAGTCTAACTTGTATCCTAGACCCTTCGAAAGTAGATTTCGGGAAGTACAGAAACAAGAAGGGTATTAATTACTTCAGAGGCTCAAAAAGGCAAAATGGCTTAGGCAATGAGCCCCTGCTGGGCATCTATTGAGGAGAGGAGAGGTTGGGGAGAAAGTGGAACAATTCAATTTTCGCTGGCCTCTGGCTTCTCTCTATGGGAGAAGGGTTGTTGTTTTTTTTAAAATATATTTTTATTGATTTCAAAGAGGAAGGGAGAGGGAGAGAAAGATAGAAACATCAATGATGAGAGGGACTCATTGATCAGCTGCCTCCTGCACGCCCCCTACTGGGGATTGAGCCTGCAACCTGGTATGTGCCCTTGACCAGAATCAAACCCGGGACCCTTCAGTCCGCAGGCTGACGCTCTACCCTCTGAGCCACACCAGCCAGGGCTGGGAGGAAGATTCTTAAATGGGAAAAGGTAAAGAAAAGGTGAATGGGGGACTGAATCCAGGACAGGTGATGGCCTAGGAAGAAGGCACACCAATGCCTCAAATGGTTCCCGGCTCTAAGGCCACACAGCAGCACCCCAGAGGAGGAGAGACTTTGTAGCTCAGGAATAAAAGTGAGGAGCCAGAGGGCAGCTCCGGGCAAAACCCAGAGTAGAGGGAGATCTGGAAATATCAGACTCTGATCCTTGTCAGAACCCTAGAATGAATGACTGACCAGCACTACAATTACTGAGGTAACGGAGCAGGGCAGTAGTCATAGGAGTAAGCACACGGCTGCAAAAAACATCTGTCATCTGAACAAATCTGTTTTGTGGGGTTTTGGCTGGATACGCCAGAATGGTATACGCTGCACGTTTTCTTTCAACAAGGCACCTGGTGAAATTTTTGTAATATTCTGATAGGAAGGGAGGGCACTGCGGGCAGGATAGTCTATTTTGGGGGCTAAGTTGAACGTGCCTCCACCTAAGTGTTGAGATCCATGCTGTCTAGCTGGCTGCTGCGAGGTCAACCAGGGTGCCTCACACTAGGGATGGGGCCCAGGACCAGGGTCTGCAGGCTTCTCCTCAGAGGCTCCAGCTTTCTCTACCAGAATGTTTTGTTCTTGTTTTCACTGTGAAGATCATCTTTTAAAAAGGAACAAATACTGTAGGTCGCTGGGTGATTGTTGCTTACCCCAGATTTGCACATTTCAGGGCTGAGATGTGTATTTACAACTGTACTAGTGCCAAGTGGTACTATTCTAACTGCGTGGGCTAATTCAGACAATTTAATTCTGCATTTAACTCATTCGATACATTTGTGCAACGTGAGGCATGACAGCTCTTCAGAAGCTGGGAGGATTGCCTCTCCTCACTAGACACTGCAGGGTGGGCGTGCGGAAGCCACGGAGGCCATGGTGTCAAGTCTGTGCCGTGCTTATGCTGACAACAGCGATTCAGGTTCACACTAATGTCGTCCTCCCAGAATGATGTCGGTTTGAATTTTACTGGCTTTTGGGTAGTTATTTAATTAATTTTATAGGAGCTAGATCAGTGAGTTGATACACAGATTTACGTGAGTACATAATTAAGTTGTAGCATTATAATGAAAACAAACTAAGTTGACTCAAAAACATCTTTTCTCTACAGCAGCGTTCAAACTATTCAGACCATGAACCACAGCTATAAAAACAATTTACATCAAGATCCAGTGCACACACACACACTCACACATACACCCACACACTTCCTTGTCCCGTGCTCATGCAATAAGAGTTTCCAGATGCCCTAGCCAGTTTGGCTCCTTCTCTCATCATTGATGTTTCTATCTCTCTCTCCCTCTCCCTTCCTCTCTGAAATCAACATATATATATAAAGTTTCCAGTAACAAAATATGCCCTTACTACATGTGATGGACTTTGATATTTTCCTACTCTATTTGATATTTTTAAACTATTTTTAAAAATTGATTTTTAGAGCTCTGGCTGGTTTTGCTCAGTGGATAGAGCATTGGCCTGCAGAATGAAGGGTTCTGGGTTTGATTCCAGTCAAGGGCACATGCCCGGGTTGTGGGCTCGATCCCCAGTGGGGGGTGTGCAGTAGGCAGCCAATCAATGATTCTCTCTTATCATTGATGTTTCTTATCTCTCTCCCCTAAAATCAATAAAAAATTTAAAATTAAAAAGAATTGATTTTTAGAGAAGAAGGGAAAAAGTGAGAAACATCAATGTTTTTATTGATTTTAGAGAGAGAGGAAAGGAGAAGGAGAGAGGAGGAGAATCACTGATCAGCTGCCTCCTGCACACCCTCTACTGGGGATCAAGCCTGCAATCCAGGCATGTACCCTGACTGGGAATCAAACCCATGACCTTCTGGGTCATAGGTCCATGCTCAACCACTGAACCCATGCCAGCAGGGCCTAGGCTTTTATTTTTAAACTAGAGGCCTGGTGCATGAAATTCGTGCACAGGTAGGGTCCCTAGGCCTGGCCAGCTATCAGGGCCGATCAGGGCCTTCCTTCTGGCTACCAGCTGGGGCCTCCCTTCGTTCTGCGCCACCCCCTGGTGGTCAGCACATGTCATAGCGAGCGATTGGTCTCCCGGTAGAACTCCCTCAGGGACAATTTGCATATTAGGCTTTTATATATAGAGATGCTGATTGTGACTCACTAAATTGCTTTTGTGCCATAGAGATTGGAAATTGCTGCTTTAAAGTAGTCTAACCACCTCCCAACTTTGGGAAACTGTCCAACGACTTAGTAGGCACGTTCAATTTGCAGAAGTCACAGGACTGAGAAGGATTACAAACACAATGGGTGTCAGTATTAGGGTTCAAAGAGCTCTTTAAAAAATGGTATGTGGCCCTGGCTGGTTTGGCTCAGTGGATAGAGTGTCGGCCTGCGGACTCAGGGGTCCCGGGTTCGATTCCGGTCAAGGGCATGTACCTTGGTTGCGGACACAGCCCCGGTGGGGAGCGTGCAGGAGGCAGCTGATCGATGTTTCTCTCCTCTCATCGATGTTTCTGACTCTCTGTCCCTCTCCCTTCCTCTCTGTAAAAAATCAATAAAATATATTAAAAAAAAAAAAATGGTATGTGCAGAAGGCTCCAGACCTAAGTGAGAATTTGTACTGTGCTAGTCATCAGCACCCTCTGTAAAACATAGGTAGTCATCCTCATGGGATTCCAGGAGGCATCAACAATTGATATGAAAAGCATTAATCATGTAGTGGGTAATCAATAACTGGTGGTTTAAACTTTAAAGTTGAATAAATTCTTAAGATTCTTTTAAAAAGTAACATGTATACAGGACAGGAAGACAGAGCTTAATCGTGAGCCTCATGTGAAAAAGCTGCAGTGGTTTTAACTCAAAGCTAAACAGGCGCCAACAGAATCTCGATGCGGTTGCCAAAAAAGCTACTGCAATCTTGCACTGCATTTCCCAAAGTTCAATCACAGAAGAAGAAAAATAATAGTCCTAGTGTGTTCTGCACACTTGGGCTACATCTGAGTGGCGGGTTTCATTCTGAGGGACATTTTGAAAGGGGGCTTTGCAGTAGGAGCTGGTGCAGAGAGCAGCAGCAATGGTTGTGACCAGGGTGCCCGAGCAGCAATATCCACCAGGGTATCTTATTCCATCCTGGGTTCAAAGGGTGGAACCAAGATTTCAGGATGGAAATTTCAAGAAGGCAGATTTCAGATTAAGAGGGAAGCTTCCAAAAGATGGAATAAGTTGCCTTTTGAAGTAATGTTCTCCCTTCTCTGGAACCATTTAGCCTGAGGCAGAATAAGTGTCTGTTGGAGTCAGGATGTCTAGATGGGGTGGGAAGTTGGACTGAATTGCCTTTAAGATGTTTACAATTCTCAGACCACGTTACTGATAAAAACACAAGATGAGTTAGCTGCTGGCAGGGCTGGAAAGGGAAGGCAGAAGCTTTCCCAGGAGGCTCCCTGGGCTCGGGTTCACTAGCTAAACTTGGTGAATGACTCTCCCTGAGACATCGTCTGTTATGAAACGGAAGGACATCAGAACAGGACAGAGCGCAAACAAAATGAAAACTGGCCTAGAGCTTCTTACTCACCTGCCTTTCCCATCTCCCTGTCTCCCGCTGCAGTCATTACTACCCTGGACTCAAACTGTTTGGAGACCTGGCTGGGCTCTGAGTGAGCCTTCAGTTAGGAAGCCACAGCAGAATCTACTGAAGCAAGCTGCAGACTGCTGGCGCTTGACGTTGCACCATTTCAATTTGGTTTCATTTTCCTCCCCAGCTGGCTCTTGAAATACACCTCTAGATTGCAAGCCGATGTTTGTATCTCTCCTAGGATCACTCAGAGTTTTGTGGCCCCTGGGCAACCAAAACAGAGAGGATCTCGCTCCCCGCCATTGCAGAATTATACCCTGAGATTAACCATAAAAGGGAGAAGAGAAGCATTTCCCGTTGGTGTCTGGAAATGAGAAGTGGTTAAGAAATGGCGCAGATAGTAACTACAAGACTCTGATCAAAGTACTTTAGAATCACATTAATTTGGAACTTTATATTTAAAATGTGTAATTTGGACATAAATTGTGCTTTCCTTCATATTATTCAAAGCAAGGCTAAACAGTTGTATGAAGACTGCAAAAGGACTCCTACTGTTTTATACCACGTCCACCATTTTAATTGCACCGTTTGCTTTTTCTTTATCCTCACTCGAGAACATGCTTATTGATTTTCTTAGAGGGGAAGGGGGAGGGAGGGAGAGAAACATCAATGTGAGAGAGAAACATCGATCAGTTGCTTTCCTGTACACACCCTCGACAGTGACTGAACCCGCAACCTACGATGTACAGACAACGCTCCAACCGAGCCACAGGGGCCGGGGATGTACACCTGGCTTTTAACAGCAGTTTACATCCAGTCACTGGAACCTACATTTAGCAACATTGGTAAGTGGGATTACTGCATACTCTTGAAAAAGAAGGTGTCATTTCTTTCAGAGTTCTATCATTCAGGTTGGCTAAGACTTTCCCAACAGAGATTTCACCTCGGCTGGTGAAACTTTACAAGGATTTACTATACAGGCATGAGTAGCTCTCAGGTTTCAAGGAAAACTTCCAAGGTCATCCAACAAGCCGTCCAGTGTCTGATGGGACCACAGTCTTTCCTTTCTCTATACGGGAAGCCAGTTTAATTCTAAGACCAGCAGAAGCATCCCGAGTATCCCAGCTCTTGATATACAGATAGATCAGTGGTTCTCCACCTTCTGGCCCTTTAAATACAGTTCCTCATGTTGTGGCCCAACCATAAAATTATTTTCGTTGCTACTTCATAACTGTCATGTTGCTACTGTTATGAATCGTCATGTAAATATCTGATATGCAGGATGGTCTTAGGCGACCCCTGTGAAAGGGTTGTTCGACCGCCAAAGGGGTCGCGACCCACAAGTTGAGAACCGCTGGGATAGATTATTCATTTCCACCTTTGTCCCCTCTGACTTGGCTTCAAGCACCTTCCATAGGCTGACAACTCCCAGGTCTCTCAGCCCAGTGCAGACCGGTACACCCAGCCCTCTGTGGGCCTGTCGCTTGGACTGCCCACAGAACCTCCCATACTGAGCTGTCACCTCTGCCCACTCTCTCCAGCTTTCTCATCCCCTGGCACCAGGGGCCTTCTTCCAGATCCTTGAAGATCCTTCGTTTCTCCACTGCCCTTTCCTTGCTTAGAGCTCTTTCTTCTCTTACTAGCTAAGACCTACTCATCCTTCAGGTCTCAGCCTGTTTTTTGGTTTTTTTCAGCAAAATTTACTGTGAGACCACTATGTAACAGGCATGTCATTTCCTCACGGAGGCCTTCCAGGGCCCCTGAGACGGGAGGGCTTCCCAGGGGTGGGCCAGGTCTGTTTGCTGAACAGATACACTAAGTCTAGTCCATAGCCCAGGGACCCGTCAGTGCTGCAGGCTGAGTGAATGTCTGGTTAAACCAACCTCTCTCCTGGTATTTCCAATCACAATGACATCTGAGCATCATCCCCACTGCCAACCAATCAAGCCCTCCTGATTCTGCCTCCTAAATATAAAGCTCTCCACAGTCTACTCATTGCTCCTCACCACCATCGCCATTATCCTAGCATTAACCACTTTGGCTCAGCCTGAAATACTGCCCAAAGCCTTCAAAACAGCTCCCCAGCTCTGGTCTTGCCCCTCTTCTCCAGCTTCCATAATCTGGTCAGAATCATTTTAAAATGCAAATTCCATCCAGCCTCTCCCCTCATTAAATCCTGCAAGAACTTCCAGTTGATCTCATGATAAGCTTACAGAGGTCAAAACCATCTGCCCCTCTTTCCCCCCTACCTCTCCTACTTATCTCCTGCCCTTCCCTCCTGCAGGCACACCGTTTTCTCCATTTTTGGACCTACAGAACACGCCCTCTCCCCCATTTGTGGATCTCCAATCCTCCTTCCGAGGTCCTTCATAACCTACTCGGGGGAAACTTTCCTCCCTCCCACCCCCACGTGTGGGGCAAATGCCCCTGTTATGTGCCCGGTACAGGCACCAGGGCACCCTTCACAGCACTTCCCCCACCACACAGGCGGGAGTGTGTTTCTGTCCTGGGGGGTCTTCCCATGAGCATAACAGGAAGTGGCCTGAGGGATCCCGAAGCTCTGGCCATCGGACTAGGGGCTGTTCCACTGGGTCTTTCACTTGAGACGCAGGAATGAGAGAGAAAAGGGGACCAAAGAAACACTGCAACAGTGGGCTTCACGAAGCTCTTTCTCCTCTGAGAGAACCTGACTCAAATGTGGGTGCTCAGCTGCTTTTTTTTTTTTGCCTCAGGCTCCTACCATCCCAGCAATTGCTTTCTTGGCCTCCTGCTATGGTATTTCCCCTGGAGGAATTTCACTGCACAAACAGTCCTTCTGCTGTCTATTTTGGTCAGCTCAGCTGGCCTAAAGCCAACAAAACAGTTTCTAAGCCTAGTCTTTCCCAGTTGCCTTGCCTGGAAGAATTCAGAGCTGGTAAGGGAAAAGCAAACCAGGCTGGTTTTAGAGAACAACGTCGGACCTCAAAGGGAGTTGACAAACGGGCTAAGTCAGAGAATCAGCTTGTGAATGACTCCACATTGCACAGAATATTTCCCAGAAGCTAATCTCCAGCGGTCACAGTAACCATATAAAAGCTCTATAACAGTTAAAGAAATTTTTTTGACTTTCATTAAATATGAACACCCCTGGAGGGTGCCTTGCTAATGCCACAGGCCAAAGGAGGAAGGTATGCAAAGAACGTAGCCCTGGCCGTTTGGGCTCAGTGGATAGAGTGTGGGCCCTGGGACCAAAGGCTCGCAGGTTCCATTCCAGGTCAAGGGCACACACTTCGGTTGCAGCTGGATCAGAATGGAGATCTTGTCTCCACCCAGACCCTTCACCAAGCCACCCAGTCTTCCCTACTCCTGACTTCGATCCCATCCTCAGCCCATGACCCTGATGTGTGTCCACAATCTCATCAGGAAGTTAAATTTTTGGCCTGACCGGCTTGGTTCAATGATTGAACGTCAACCTATGAACTAGGAGGTCACGGTTCAGATTCCAGGTCAGGGCATATGCCCGGGTTGCGGGCTCCATACTCAGTTGGGACATGCAGAAGGCTGCCAATCAATGATTCTCTGTCATCATTGATGTTTCTATCCCTCTATCTCTCTCCCTTCTCTAAAATTAATAAAACTATATTTTTTAAAAAAGAAGTTAAAATTCCCTTTAATAGCTAAATCTATTATTTCTTTTTTCCAGAAAAATTTCTTGCAAGAGTCACTTGTATTTACTGTCCCTAATTTCTTCCCAGCCAGTCTTTCTTAAACCTGTTCCAACCATGTTGCGCCTGCCCCATCCACACCACAAAAACTGCTCACACCACCAGTGACCTCCACCTTACTAAGCCTAATGGTTAATTCTCAGACCTCATCTTCTGCGCTGATCTGGCAGTTGACCCCTCGTCCTCCTTGAAACACCTTCTTTTCACTTGACTCCAAGACATACTTGCCAGATTAGCCTCCTACCTCTCTGACTACCCCTTGTAAGACTCCTTTACCGGGTCTGCCCCTCCTCAAATTCCAAGTGGTTGAGCTGCCCCAGGACTCAGTCTCCAGACCCGTTTTTCTTCAGTTTTCACATATTTCCTGGGTGATTTCATCTAGTCTCATAGTTTTAAAAAATCAATTAACATCTAGGTTCTACATAATGAGGACTCCCAAATTTATATTTTCAGGTTTGTATATCTGACTGCCTACTGAAGTCTCCACTTGGATGTATTAGTAAGCATCTCTAGCCCAAACAGGGCTACTGATATCTCATTCTGAGCCTGTCAAACTTCCGCACTGCGGTGAATGACACTCCATCCCTCCAGCTGCTCAGCCTGAAAGCCGTGGGAGTCATCCTTGATTCTTCTTTGGTTCCACACTCTGCATTGGAGTCGGCAAACTTTTGGCTCTACCTTCAAAATATCTTCAGAATCTGATTGCTTTCCCCACCACCTCTTGTTAACACCCAGGTTCAGGTCCCCATCACCTCTCGCCTGTGTAACTGTGAAAGCCTTCTTCCTGGCTGGGCTTCTGACCTTGTCCCTGTTGGTCTTTTCCCAACATGCATCAGTGGGACCCGTCAAACATAAAGCAGAGGTTAGCCCTCTGCTCAGAGCCCTCCAATAGCATCCATCTCCCATTCAAATGGGAGCCAGAGTCCCCACAGTGACACCCAGGGCCTGTCTCCTGTGACCTCTCTGACTTCGCTCCTATCATTCTCCCTCACTAGTCAGCCGCGAGGGCCTCCCTACTGTTCCTGAACGAGCCAGATAAGGTCCCTCTCAGGCAGGGCCTTTGCACTTGCTGTTCTCTCTGCTTGCGTTCTCACCCTCTGTCTCTCACCCCAGATTGAGTATGGCTCTCCACTCTTTCAGTTTTACGCAAATGTCATTTCCCACAGAGGCCTTCCGAAACTGCCCTATAAAATTACACCCCCCCCCACACACACACACATTCTTCCTGTCCTCTATTTTTCTCCTTAGCACTTCTCCTTGCCTAACACCTATTAGTTATTTATTGTCTCCCACTAAAGCTTCCTAAAGGCATGGACTTCTCTGCCTCACGCATTGATGTACCTCCGTACCGGGCACACAGTAGGTGCTTAGTATATATATTTGTTGAGTGGATGAATGCATGAACCTAGAGGCTGCAGAGGGGGAGAGCCTATATGGAGCTTACGAACCAAAAGAGGAAACCTGCAGCTTTGCATGTCCTTTGACTCAGCTGGGATCTGCTCACTGGGTTAGCTTAGCTGATCCAGTGCCAGATGGAACTCTCAACCCCACCAGTCACCTCACACAGGCCCAGTGCACAGTCCATTCCTGCTCCCGGACAGGAGCAGAGCACACACGTCATCACCACCACGCTACATTTCAATGCTTCCTTCAGTTAACGTATAGGGTATGTTTGGGATGGGGGGGGGCACATTTGAGTCACTCCTGGGCTAGGATCGGCTTCTGAAATGAGCGGTGACTTCATTTCCCCTGGGAAGGGAGGGTTAGCTTACCGATTACTTTTTTGAAGGCTGGGAAATGATTTGCTGTTTTCAGACTAATCTGAGACTTCCAATTAGACAGTGACCAGGAGCAGGAATATTCCACTTCCAATCACACAGTCCTGCCTGCTGTCTCTTATTCCCTATTCACACTCTCTAAAGAGGCTGCTTTGTCATTCCACCAAGTCCCAAAGGAGAGGCCGACGAGGAAGCTCTAGAAAGAGGACGTCTGGAAATGTGCAGGCCCGGGCCTACTGGTCCCTGAGCCGCTTCCACCCTGTGGCTGAGATGAAAAAGGCCATCTAACAGCCTAGGGACGAACAGCATCGCAGGGCCCTCAGCATCAGAAGCAAGAGTCGCCCAAGCCAGACCTCTGCTTTGTGATGTTCTGGGGCTCCTGGCTCGGTACAGCATGCAGCTCTGATGTCGAAACAAATTGTAGCTAAGGAATGAGATGTCCAAAGGAAGGATTCCAACAGCTGGGTCTGTAAGCCTGCTCTTCCTGTGACACAAACAGCCCTGTAATCTCAACACTCCTCAGAGCTCCGCACAGGAGGGCAACAGCAACGTCTAACTGGGCACTCGGCCCCTTCACACTCCCTTGCTCCTGAGCAGAGCACGGCGGCCAGGCCCTGGCGTGAGGAGTACAGTAATTCCCTGGGCCGCGGGGGCCTCAGTGCATCTGCAAAGAACGCTTCCTGGACATGCAGTGGGCAGCCTCCCCCCGGCTGAGTGCTGACTCTGAGCCTGCTCCTGGACTCTCTTTTCAGCCGTAGGAAAATCGGTTTCCACTTTGGAATCCCGTCAACTGGAACAAATCCAACAGTACAACCTGGGAGCATCTCCCCAAGGGCAATCGCTAATCCCTTTCCTCCTCAGGCTGGCAATGTCCTTGAATTAGTAACACCCCATGTTTTTACCTTCCTTCCAATAGATAACAGAAAAGTGAGACCTCCCTACCCTGAGGTCTCCTACGAAAGTGCCTCCAGCCAAAAAGAAATCTACTGATAATTTAGGAAGAACTTAAGAGAGAGACTTTCAAATGCGTTTCAGAAATATAAAGATCTAAGCACTGGCTCTATGAATATAAGGAAGAAATGAAGAGAAAGCATTTCCCCCTCCTTCAACAGGTCTAGAAGTCACACAAGGAGTTGCATGTGGATCCAAAACTAAAGCAAAGCAAAAAAAACCAAACAAGCAAAAACGTCAACAGATACATTCCATAAGGAGGTCCAGTCTTCCGCCCAGCTTGTGCTGGTCGGGTCCAGCTTGTGGACCAAGTGTTCCTGGTTTCAAACTTGTCGAGAAGAAGTTCACAAATCCCAAAGGGACACTATCATCCAGTAAACTCGTAAGCAAGTACCGGGGCTTTAAAGAGAGGTTACTCCAAGTCTGCAGTCCACAAGGCTGCAGACTGGACCATGGAATTGTTTACTAGTAAACTCAGAAGTATTCACACAACTATACCTCCAAACTTTGTAATACTCCAACACCCTTTAAAGCAGTGTTGCTCTGCATCCTATCTTCTGTGGCCACTGCCCACTCCCTAAATAATCCCTCAGTTTTTCAATCTTTGGAAGTGAGGCATCTAATTTGTGTGTATACAGAGAACAGAGGCGTGAAGATAAGTCTTAGAAGAAAATCATACATTTCCATCATAGAAATGGGGGTGAGCAATGTCTAGAAAATTGCTGAACCCAAGTCAATATCAGGGTGTATTAGTTGGCTGCAACAGCTTAGAGCAGCGGTTCTCAACCTGTGGGTCGCGACCCCTTTGGCGGTCGAACGACCCCTTCACAGGGGTCGCCTAAGACCATCCTGCATATCAGATATTTACATTATGATTCGTAACATACATCATTACAGTTATGAAGTAGCAACGAAAATAGTTTTATGGTTAGGTCACAACATGAGGAACTGTATTTAAAGGGCCAGAAGGTTGAGAACCATTGGCTTAGAATGTCTTCACAGGGCCCTAGTTGGGCAATACTTGCTTAAAGCAAGCTTAAGAGTTGTTACATACCTATGGCAAAGGACTGGTTAGGGACCCTGCAACTTCCCCAAAAGATTACTACTAATCAACAGAACTAGGAAGTGCAAGGCCAAGACACCAAAATGAACTACCCAGACATTTGCTAAAATCTTCTTATAGCTTCTTCCTTCCTCTGACAGACCTCCAGAGGCCCAAACTTTAGTAAAATTTCATCTATGTGCTATCAACAGTGAAGTCACACTCTGCCTCCTGAAGTCACTTCTCCCTGCTGGGTAGTCAGGATATGACTATGAACTACCTCAACCTGGGCCGCCTCAGCAGAGAGAATGTCTTTAACAGCCTAGCTCAGGGGGTTCATATGCCAGAAGAGCATTTTTTTCTTCTTGTTGCTGCTTTTCAATGAAGAAGTTAAGCCTCTGTACAACCAAGTGGAAAAACCAGAATTAGACATCTTACCAATTGGCCCAATGAGAATCCATTTCCAACAGGAAATAATGCCTGTTAGAAGCCACTGGCACACTGACATCATCAGCCCGATCGGTAGGTTGTATGACAGAGGAGCCCCTTCACCAGACACAGGAATTTAAAAAGTCCCTGCAGTTACATTAATGACTGCAGACAACAGGTTTCCTTGGGTCATTACTCGAAATTACTCCTACGGTGTGGACTCCACCATCATTCCCTCCTTTCAGGCTCTCCGTGAGTTGGCTAACAACCCCGAACTTTCCAGCCCAAAAAATCTTATCCCAAATACCAACTCAACATTCAGCCCTCCGCTGGGACACTGAACGCCTTGCGGGGACAGCACGTAAGTTTTAGACAGTGCACGCCAGTGTCCCTTAAAAGTCATCACCCCTCCCTCTGCAATGCAGTCGGTCGGTGTCACGGAGGACAGCCAGGAACCATTTCACTGCCGGCTCCTCCTTCCGCTTTGCTAGGAAACAACACATAAGCCAACCTCAGGAGAAGAAACAAAGTTCGGGAACATGTGCACTGAGGAAAGCCAGACCGAGCCCCTCTGGATCAAGCTAACTAAGCAACGATTAAACACCACAGTACAGGGGGGCCTTGACTTAGGAGTTTAATTCGTTCCGAGACCGAGCTCGTTAACTCAAATTACTCTATCAACTCAATGCAAAAAATCGGCCGAGAGACAGCTGGTATCTCAAAAAACTCGTTAGTCGGGACGCTCGTAAGTCAAGGCCCCACTGTATCTTGGAATCAAAACCAGTGAATGCAGTGAAGACAGGTTTCTCAATTGCCCAGAGAAAACACAGTTCCTTCTCAACTAAAACTATAAAGCCCCCAGGAACACAGGCCATGCACTGGGATGGGGGTGCGGCGGGAGAGAAGAAACGCCCTTTCTGCTTTATTTCTCTCGTGCATTCCCTAGGTTTGTGCCCGGCCTCTGGGAGTCGGCAGGTCCGGGCTAGCTCCGTCTACAAGTCCTTAAACGTCTCTCCGTTTCTGAAGATACTTAGCTGGAGGCTCAAGAATCCAAAGGAAGGAACACATGGCAAGGTTCTGCCTACTCGCAGTCCAAGGCGAGGGGTCCTCTGCCTAGGGAGTGCCCTGGTGTCCCGACACCCTCTCTCCATGGGAGACACTGGCAACCACGTTGGCTTCTAGACCCAGCGGTGTGCATGTGCTTGGCGCCATCTGGATTGCAAGCATCCCTTCCTTGCCCCTCTCTGCACTCGGGCGAGCCCTGAATCGCTGGTGGGCACCTAGACTTCGAGTGCAGGAGGGTCCGTCCCCCCGGCACAGGGCAACCGCGAGGGGGGTCGGTCGCCTCCTCGGAGCAGGCCCAAGCCATAGCCCCGGGCCGGACAGCGCTGGGGGGGCTGGGGGGCGACCAGGCGGAGGGGCGATCGGTCGGCCCCAGGTGCCCGCTCGTCCTGCCAGCCCCCGGAAGCGCTGCCCTCCCGCCCAGCGGGCTCCGAGGAGGCGGGGAGTCGAACGCCCCCTTCCGGGTGCCTCCGCCCGGCTGGCCAGCCCCGCTCCTCCTCCGGGCGGGAATCCTCCCTCCCCCGCCCCTCCCGGAGCCGGGCCCCGGCGCCAGGCCCGGCCCCAGGGGGCAACCCCCGGCCCCGGTTCCCCCTCCCTGCGGCCTCTGCCCGTCTTCCCGACCCTTGGGGGCTAGGAAGACCCCGCCGGCAGCGGCCAAGACCCACCGCTCATTACGACATCTTCCTCCCTGGCCTCCGCCGCCTCCGCCGCCACCGAGAGCCTGACACCGCCCGCCCAGCACCCGCCAATCCCGGAGCCCGCCACCGCCCGAGCGACGGCACTGTTCACCAATAAGAGTGTTGTGCACTGGGGACCGACAGCACTACTAACCAATCAGAGACAGGTATCTAGAGCGACGTTGGTTTGGCCAATAGGCATGTGAAATGTAACTGATGGACGGTAGGAGGCACCAACCGGAAATCTACTGAAGAGTGAGCGACATGTTCGCCAGCCAACTGGAGGAAAGCAAAGTTCCTCCCACGGGGTGGTTGATGGACAGCAACAGGAAGCTGGATGGGGCGGGGCTTATCTTGAGGAGTGGTTTTGTATTGGTCGTGGTTGACCTTCCACCCACCTCTAACCCAGAGGATGAGTGATAGATCTGCCCTAAAGCCAATCACAAGTCCTCAGGGTGAGGCCCTTGAAAAGCCCTGTAAATAGCGTGAAAATCGCACCTCCATCCAGAGTCGCGCGGTGTATCGCAGGGGACTCCTGCCCTTCGGCCACTCAGTCCCGTCCCTGGTGAGTGAAAAGCCACCAGCCTTTTATTTAGTCCCTCGCCCTTCACCGCCTCGGGAGCGGGGCATGCGCTCAACTTTGTAAAACGAGGCATTGGATACCAAGCGGGAGTTGGGGCTGCGTGACTTCTGAGAGCGGGGATTACTGCAGCGACCCTCTAACGGACGGCCCCCGGATGCGGGCATCAGAGTCACCTGAAGCTCTGGACGTGGATTCTGGGGTCTCCACTCTGCAGCACTGGGCACCCCTGGACTCTGCGCTCGAGCCAGCGCCTCGTGTGGACAGAGTTGGTGTCGCTCTTTGAAAGCGGTGCTGCGAGCAAAGGCCCTGGCGGGTGCCATCCGAGCAGGCTTATCTTGCCCAGGTCTTCCCTGTAGACGTGTAACTTGGGGGGCTGCCTCGAACAGTGAGAAGGAATGCACTCTGCCTTCCTAGCGGCCTTGGCTGGAAGCGGACCCATCCCTCCTGCAGGGAGGCAGGGCGCCCAGACTCTGCGCCTCTGCCCCCATCCGTCCAGTGCGGCTCCTTAAGCGCGCCTGCACTGTAGGTGGTGACTTTCCTTAAAAAAAACAAAAAACAAAAAAGCCCCCACAGCCCACAGTGAGAGAAATACGTTGGCATCCTGGCCAATACACTTATACCCCTAGGAGAGTGTATATAACAAAGTTTCCAAAATCAATACTTTTCCCCGATATTTTTATTTATTTATTTATTTAATATATTTTATTGATTTTTGACAGGAAGGGAGAGGGATAGAGAGTTAGAAACATCGATCAGCTGCCTCCTGCACACCCCCTCCTGGGGATGTGCCTGCAACCGAGGTACATGCCCTTGACCGGAATCGAACCTGGGACCCTTGAGTCCTCAGGCCAAGGCTCTATCCACTGAGCCAAACTGGCCAGGGCTTCCCGATATTTTTAACCCTTTCTTTTCTCTCTGCCCTTTTCTTCCTTTCCTGGAATTTTGAGAGAGAAAAAAAACACTCATAAAGGGTTGATACAATAAAAATATGAAATGCTGAGAATGCCTAATGCACAGGAATTGCTGAATAAATGTTAATAGCCTTCCAGTGTCCTCCTCTCGGGCGTAGCCTTTGAAAAACAAGACTTGAGAAAGATCACTCCTCTAAGACCCTCCATTGGCCCCGTACTCCTGCCTGGGTAAAAAGCCCAAACTTCACTTTTTAGGCACACGAGGTCCTTCACACTCTTTACTTGGGTATGTCATGCTTTATCTCCCTCCTCCGTCCCCTTTAACTCCCTACAAATCCTCTCCTTTTGCCTGAAGGACATATTTCCCCCTTCCTAAACACTTAATGCTTCTCTCTACTATTTCCCTTCCTATATAACCCCTCCTTTGTTTTGGTAAACTCCTACGCATCCTTCAAGACTGTGTTCAAAGTCTGGCCTAGCCGGTTTGGCTCAGTGGATAGAGCATTAACCTGCAGAAGGAAGGTCCCAGGTTTGATTCCAGTCAAGGGCACATGCCCGTATTGTGGGCTTGATCCCCAGTAGGGGGCGTGCCAGAGGCAGCTGATCAATGATTCTCATCATTGATGTTTCTATCTCCCTTCCTCTCTGAAATCAATAAAAAAAATTTTTTTTTTTTAAAAAAGAATCTGAACACAAATCTCCCACCCAGCCTTAGCCTGTTCCTCCTCTGAACATTTCTTGGCACAAGCGTGAGTAAATTGCACACTTCTTTTCACTTCTGATTCCCTGCTAGATCTTGAACTGCCGCAGAAGGACTGAGGCAGTACACAAAGGACTGGCAGGAAATGTTCATTGAGCTAAAGAATGGATATTTGCATACAATCTGCCTAGGACTTGTTTATATAGACCACACATTCTGTTCCCAGGCCATTTTTCAAGTTCAGATTGCTTCACTGTCAAGCTAAGGACTCCACCCCGGTTCAGTGACTCAGGGGTTCGGGGGAGGGGAGGTGGGGCTGCTGCCAAGCCTTTTGTGGGAAGAAAGCTGGGGGCAGCTGTGCCTCTCCCACCCCCGGAGCCCCATCAGGGAGACAGCAGAAGTGAAAAAAAAAGTGTGCATGTGTGCCCGTGGGAAGACGGGGT